AGTGCACCGAGGATCAGGGAGCAGGAGGAGAAGGGATTCAAACCCAGATTCCCACTTTGAAAACCCTGCTCCTAGTGATGGTTACTAGTGGCGCTTAAAACCTTTCCCCCTCCTCCCCATTCTTGTCCAGTCTCCTCCTGTTCCACAAGGATTGGAACCCCTTTCCGCTGCTCACCTCTTCCCAGGGGTTTGCTGGAAAGAGGGCTGCGGGCCCTGGGGAGACACTGCCTCCCTTCCTCCCACCCTCAGCACCCCAACTTACAAGTTTGCAGGGTCTGTAGGGATGAACGACGCGGATGATCTCCCCGGTGGGGATCAGCTCCACTTGCAGCGCCATTCCGCCTGTGGATTGCCAGCGTGCTGGGCACTGGGGCTTCTGGGCAGAGGCCTGCCTGCCTGCTCACTGGCTATCGCCGCCGTCCGCACAGCCAGGAATCTGGTCTCACGCTGGTATGGCCACTTGGTTAAGCTTCAACTCCAGCCCCAGGGGATGTGTCTGGTCCAGCTCCTCAGGACACAGCTGGAGCAGCCCAGGTCTGATTGGGAGGCCTCTTGGCCCAGAGAGCTGGGGCAGGAAGAGGAGGGGCTGAGTGATGGAGGAAATGCCTGTTGTCCCAGGTAACCAGAGCAGCTGATAGAGCCACCCCTGGGGTACCCTGGGCTCTAGGTCAGAGGGTACAGGCCTTTCCCCACAGCCACTCTGTGGCTGGGCCTCTCCCCCTGCCCACTCACCGGTCTCTGCTGGAGAGCACACTGACCACTCCCCAAATGAAAATGCACACTCTGTCCTAAGCCAAGAGGATCCATCAGTGAGCACTGCCCCTCCTGCATGCAACGCAAACCCCCCCCCCCCCAATTTGCCTGCTTCCCACAGCAGCACATGAGCCCCTTGAGTTTGGAAGGCCAGGGCTGCTGGGGGCTGGCCATATTGGGAAGAGGGGCTGGCTGGCTGGAGAGGCAGGGGGGACACTGTGACTGCCCCTCGTACTGCTCTCCTCTGGAGCCTCAACCACTTGGCACGCCGATGCCTGGGGTCCTTGGCTGTGGACAGATTTAGGCCTGCTGGCTCCTTACTTTTCCATTAGCACCCTCAGGTGCCCCCCACCCTGAATGTTCCTGTTTTGCTATCTTTATTGTTGCTAAATCACCGCTGACACTTTCCTGGCCTGGGATTGAGCCCTTGGGTCTCCAGCCATTCCTTGAGGAAGTGAGAAGGGGAAGTGGCTGGGGGAAAGTGACCTTTCCAGAGGGAAGGCTGGCATGGAGGGGTGAAGTCCAGCCATGGGCAGGCACCTTCCCCCAGGCTCCCTTCCCTTCCCTCTCACAGCTCTGCCCGCCCAGGAAAGACCAGCTAAGCTTCCTTCCTTCCTCCAGGAAGCACATCTATCCAGGGCAGGCTCATCCCCGGCAGCCACACAATGGCCCTTATCAGCCGCCGTGGAGCCAGGCCGAGACCAGCACACACCAAGTCTCACATATTTCCTGTTTCCACCCAGTGGGTCAGGGCTGGGCCCAGAGCGGCCATATCCTGGCTGGGGCCAAGAGGAGGGAACGCACTCCCCCTTCCCCTCCCGCCTCACTCCCTGCTGGACTCACTCCTGCCAGGCTAGGAGGGTTCTGTCCTGAGAATGGTGGCTGAGAGAGGGATGGGCAGTGAAGGCTTAGGGGGAGGGGAGGCGTGGGCATGTCAAGGGCGAGCATGTTCCACAAAGAGGAGAAACGGGGACCCCTGGCCTCAGCAGCCCTGGAGGTCCAGCCCCAGGGCTGCAGGGACCATGAGGTAGGTATAGTGTGAGTCTGGGTGTTTGTGTGTGTGTGTACAATTGTTCTTTCACACAGAGTTGTGAATAGTGCATTATTTTATTTTACAGACAATTGAGACTGGGTAGAGATAGAACTTTGATTCACACTGGTCTAACTCCTGTCTGGTCCTGCACAGTACAGCAGCTGCCTCCATCGTCCCATTCCTGAGCTGTGGTCTGACAAATGCAGGGTAGCGGCAGCACCCATGATGGTGGTGCATGTGAGAAGGAATGAAGTAGCAAGTGCAAGCCTCAGGATCTTTTTTTTTTTTTAAAGGTATATTTTATTGATTTTTTATAGAGTTAGAAACATCGATCAGCTGCCTCTTGCACACCCCCTACCGGGGATGTGCCCGCAACCAAGTTACATGCCCTTGACCGGAATCGAACCCGGGACCGTTTTTTTTTTTTTGTTTTTTTTTTGTTTTTGTTTTTTGTTTTTTTTTTATGGAATAGCATGAATGATATAATTCCATTTTTGTTTTTTTATTTTTATTTTTTTAATCAATCTTTATTGTTCATATTATTACAAAGGTTCCTCATTTCTTCCCCCCTCCACCAGGTTCCCACCCCACCCTTCGCCCCCTCCCCATCCCCCATTGTCCTCATCCATAAGGTGCAGTTTATGTTCAGTCTCTTCTTCCCTCCCTTTCCCCTCTAGTAAATCCCTTTTCAGATAGTAAATCAGTTACTTAGCATTTTCTCAAATCAATAATACCTCCACATGCCCAATGATACACTTCACACAAAAGACATTTCCCAATAGGTCCACCAGCCTCATCCAGGCCCCACCCAAGGCACTCACAGATCAACACCCCAGCCCTATACTAACTCAACACATCCAGATCTAAGCCTTCATCACTTGATTCAGCAGACCCTCAAGTTCCCACGAAAGTTTCCAGCCATGTCTGAGAAGCAGCCGTGGGGCAGGGGCAGGCAAGGAGCGAGCTGTTCCGGGCCTGGCTGCTCAGGGCCTGGCCTCTGTTGCTCTGGTTCGTTCCACAACCAGCTGCTCCGGGTCTGGTCACTGCCGCTCCCGACCTAGTTGCTCTGGACTTGGCTGCTGCTGCTCTGGGCCTGGCCGCTCCCAGCCTGGCAGCCGCTGCTCCGCGAACCCGGGACCTTTCAATCTGCAGGCTGACGCTCTATCCACTGAGCCAAACCGGTTTTGGCAGGCCTCAGGATCTTCAGGTGTGTGTGTGTGTATTGGGGGCAGGGATAGAGGTTACTATGGGAACTTCCGGGTAGGGAGCAGAAAGAAAAGACAGTGATGATTTTTTGTTTTGTTTTGTTAGCCTCACACAAGCATATTTTTTCCAATGATTTTTAGAGTGGAAGGAATGGGGGGGAGAATCGTCCATGGGGGAGATATTGATTGGTTGCCTCCCACACGCCAGAGGCCAGGGAGGGAGCCTGCAACCGAGGTATGTGTCCTTGACCTGGGATCCTTCAGTCCCAGGCCTGATGCTCCAACCACTGAGCCAAACTGGCTGGGTTGATGGTGACATTTTTGGATAGCTTAACTCAGGACCAAGGAGCAAAACTAAGGTCTGAGAGTGGCAGGTGAAGAGGGATGAGCCAGTGAGAGCAGAGAAAGCACCTTTTATGACTCATCAGTTCTAAGAAACTCATTTTTTTTTTAATTGATTTTTTTTTTTTACAGAGAGGGAGAGGGATAGAGTTAGAAACATCGATGAGAGAGAATCCTCAATCAGCTGTCTCTTGCACACCCCCTACTGGGGATGTGTCTGCAACCAAGGTACATGCCCTTGACCGGAATCGAACCTGAGACCTTTCAGTCCACAGGCTGTCGCTCTATCCACTGAACCAAACCGGTTTCGGCAAGAAATCCATTCTATTAATGCCCAATAGCATGCCCCAAGTGGGCCAAGGACCCAAAGGGTCACTATTCCAGACCCTCACCCCATTCCTACCTGGGCACATGTTCCTCTCAGACACACACAGGCCAGTCTGGATCTATAGGACTCTCATCCTGGAGTCTCGCAAGGGCCCATCACTATGTACCCCTTCCCACCATCATGAAGGAGTCACACACACGTGTAAAAGCCATGTTTCTAATTATCCTCTATGTAACAGACAACACATCGATGGTACACACGCTCCCGGCTGGAGCACAGAATGCAGAGCAGTTGCAGGGTTCCTCCGCTTCAGGTCGCAGGGCTTGAGTGACAGTCACAGAGCGGCTCCCTGACTGTCTTTTCCTGGGAGAGGGCCGTTGAGTCCCCGGTGGCCGGAGGCAAGTGGTAGGAGTGGGGACAGCCATGTCCACACAGCACTGGAGAATGCTCCCTGAAGACCCCCAGGGCCAGAGTCTCCAAAACGTCTGATCCCAGCCTTCCTCTCTGCCTGGCCCCACCTCTCGGTCCCAGGTGTCTAGAGAGGGCAGGTTTCTGGTTAGTGACTTCAGGCAAGGGTGGGGAGATGAGCTGCACTGGACAAAGACCCCGTGGGAAAACTTGGAGGCCTTCACAAGATCCACCAGCAGAAGTGAACCTGGGTCCAGTTCTCTGCTCAGGTCCTGGGACATCCTGGGTCACACTCCATGGGTACAGGCAGGACACCCAACCTGGGTAACGGGCCCCTCCATCCTGCCCACTCGGTCATACTGCTTCTGTTCAAAACAAGGCTCTCAGACCTTCTTCCTATCCCTCAGGGAGACAGGCAATGAGATGCCAAGACTCCTGGAACCCAGTGCTGCTTGCACCAACCAGTCTATGGAGCCTGTACAAATGTGAGCATCTGCCTCCCCGTCCCTCCTCCCCCCCAACCCCAGGCAGCTTGAGGCCCAGGATGGAGTGACAAGAATGCAGGCCTGTGCCAGATGGGGCATGTGCCTGGCAGGCCTGCTTGGGCAGGACTGGAAGTGTGCGTGGGGAAAAAAGCAAGAAATGAGCTGCAAGCCGGAGGGCCCCTCCACATCCAGTGGACTGCCCCCAGGTCTTCACTGTTGACAAATTAGCTGGTTTCAATCAGCTCAGCAAAAAACCTGTATTTGAGCAGCCAATTCCAGAGATCTGGACTGGAGAGAGCAAAGGAGTGTGGCCAGAACTCCCCCTGGGAGGGGAAGGATACTTGCTGCCTCCCCAGGGGGCTGGCTGGGCCCCCAGCACTGCTGGAAGGGGTGAGCAGAGCTGGCCGCCAGCTCTGGCCTCCGCCCTGGATTCCCCTCACCGAGGCTCAGATCTGTGGTTGGACTTCACCCAGCGGGTCCTCCTTCAAGAAGGCTTGGATCTGTGGTGATGAGACAGGCAGTGAGCGGAAGGGGAAAGAGCAGGTCTCCCTCCGGATTGTTCCATCACGGGTATCCCCCACCTGCTGCCACTGCAGGTACAGGTTGGCTCCTGGGCCTGTGGCCTCAGGGAATGGAAGAGGGCTCAAGTCCTCTGTGTCCCTTCCCCTTCCCCCAGCTCATTACCTTGAACGGACTGCTTATCCCCACCACGGAATGCAGACGGTTGCTATAGTAACAGAGGAGAAACTGATCTTCAGTCTCGGGAATATCGCTCATGTTGATATAAACCTGGAGGGGAGGATGGACAGGAATGGGGTCAGCTCCCCGGCCCTGAGTCCCACCCAGCTCTTAGCAACTAGTTATGCCGCAGCCAAGCCCACCTGCTGGGGTGTGGGCCACCTGTCTCAGGAAGGGGCAGGTACCTGGTTCAACCCGTTGCTGAAGGAGACCTGGTTGTCCCTGACCCAGACATAGGACACGTAGTCCTTAATGTGGCGAAGCCCCACCTGTGGGAAGGGGGATTGGGCCGTCAGTAGTCGGGGGGTTGGTGGGGGGGGAGAGGGTACACAGGACCTACAGCAAATCCTAAGGAGAGGAGGTCTCATTCCTAGGTCTGGCTATCATACTGTACACCCTCCCCTTCACTGACAGCCCCTGGGTGAGCTCTTTAGTCTCTGTGTCCAGCTCCCACAAGCCCTCAGGATGGATAAACCAGAGAGGGAGGGGTGCTGGGATTCCCATCCTCGCCCCCCACATCACCTTGTACAGTCCAATCCAGTCCCAGGGGCTGCTGGGAAAGTCCTGGGTCAAAGAGTAGTTGATAAGCATAGCATTCCCCACGGTCCACAGGCCCTCTGGCTTCAGGGTGATCAGTGGGACAGATACCAACGGCTTCAGCTACACACAGGGACAGGAAAGGGGTTGACAATCCAGAGCATCATTCCCTTCCCTGAGATAAATGTCCTTGTTGTGCCCTCCCAACACGTAAGGGTCGGAAGAGGGGCACGGGGTGGTGGGCACAGAATGCTGGGATGCCCTGGGGAAGTAGCAGACCGTGGCTGGCCAGCAGGAAAGAGAAAGGACCGAAGGCTTGTCAGGGGTGCCTGGTCCTGGCAGGAGGGACAGAGCTGAGGGTCAGTTGGGTAACCAAGCAGAGTCCAGTGCTGAGGGGTGAGGACGGGGGGGGGGGGGGGGGCATGGGGGAAACTGCTAACAGGTTTAAGGAGCCAGGTAGCTGCGCTCAGACCTTCGGGGTTCTTGCCCAAAGACCCAAATTCAATTTTCAGGGGAAGGGCGCCTGCGGTAGGAACAGCTTTGCAGTAAGAACAAATGGTGTACAGACAAACCAGTATGAAAAGGTGAGGGCAGTCAGCAGCTCAAAGGTTAACACTGACTTGGTCATTAGATGGCAAAACACAAGGATGGAGGGAGCTCCCTTTGCAACCCGATCCAGAGAGGTTCGAACCAATAAAAGGAAGTCCAGCTTCACATGGTAGGTAATAAGCATAATGGAACTAGGCCCCCAGGGACAGAGCCAAGAGGAAATGGAAACCTCTTCCCAAAGGGCCTGAGCAGTGTCTGACAGGCAGAGCCGTCAACGCTCTAAGACAGGGATACCTGACCTGGGAGGAGAGCACTCCCCCGGGATCTGTGGAGAGAGCCCCGGGCCGGAGGGTGTGGGGATGCGGCCCAGCATGGCTGCACCTCTGCCAAGTGCCGGGCAGCCCGGAAGTTCACCTCCAAGTCGAAGGTGCCCGTGACGGGTTTATGGTCACTGATGGTGTACATCATGTGGCTGACGTAGCTCCTCAGAGACAGGGAGAAGTCGGGGGCCGGCAGCCTTGGGGTACAGGAGTCCGTGTGGGGCTGCCGCTTCAACCTCCACAGGATCCGGTCAGTCCATGCCGGCTTGCGTTTTTTCTCACTGGGGGTGGGGGGAGAGGAAGAACGGGGAGAGAAGAGAGGCTATTTTTGTCATCTCCTTTATTCAATTACTATTTTAAGTTTTACAGCAATAGTTTTCTAGTATCAGATGCAGAACAGTGTCTCGATGGTGAACTCCATTCGACTCTAGGCCCAGAGTTGAATTTTGGGGTGTGTGTGTGTGTGTGTGTGTGTGTGTGTGTTCTGCCCTGTTAAGGTTCCAGGCTGGTGAGCAGGAGGTGACAGGGGCGAGGGGCGGGCCTGGAGAAGGCCTGGGAAGTCCGGGCCCTTTCCCCATACCTTGCCCTTCGTGTCTCCTCCACTTGCCTATTCTGGAATGACATCTTTTTATAATAAACCAGTAATCCAGTTCTAAAAGCTAAGAAGGCTATGTGCCCTTGGGCAAGTGACCTCATCACTCTAAGCCTTGATTTCTTTGATTCTTAGATGGGTTGATAATAGTACTTACTTCAAAGAATCTTTGTGAAGATTAAATAAATTAAGGTGAGTCAGGGAGTGGTCAAGAAGTGGCAACTGCCTAAACCACATCTGCTTGGGCCTCCTTGGGCTGTTTCAGCTCTTCAGTCTTCTGAGGAGTGCTCAGTGCACATGGGAATGTGGTATGGCCATTCCAGAGACTACAGACACCGAGTCTTGGACATTCCGTGCCTAACAATGCTTAAGACGTGGTAATAAACCACAGGAATGTACCACTATCCCTTTCAAAGCATGTCCCCTCCCCAACTTCCCTTAGCGTTAGGAGCCCAGACTCGCTGTCACGCCAGAATCCTCCCAAGGACTGACCACAGCCTGTCTCTCCTTCCCCTTCAGCTCCTCTTAGCCTGCCTCCCTTTGCTCCTTTTCTGTGCGCTGGTCCAGGCTCATCCCTGGCCACTTGTAGGACTCATCCTTTCAACCAGATTTACCGCCCTCATGTGCCAGGCCAACTGGGGATCCCAGAAATGAGAGTGACAAGGTCCTTGAGGAGCTTGTTTGACAAACAAATGACAAGAAACAAACAAAATAAATGTGTACTAATCAAATATTGCACCAATTCCCCCATTTCTAATAACAATATAGCTAAGCCTGGGATCCTTCTGTGCATTAGGTGCTGTGACAGGTGTCTCAAAGGCTGTTTGTCCTTGCAACACTGGAAGAATGTTCCAGATCACACTTTTCTCCCCACAGGACACTGAGGCTCAGAAAGGTCACCCTGTCCAGGTGGAGGCCGATGCCTGCCAGGTCTGCTGACTGAAGCCTGCCCTCCTTCCACAGCGCTCCACAGCCTGCTCAGCCCCGCTGTGGCCCATCACAGCTGCCAGGACTGCCTTACAGCGCGTGCTACAGCCTGACTACCTGGATGGGGCCTCACTCATGCTTTTTGGCTGAATGGTCATGACTGAATATAAGAATTGTTTCTCAAGATTAGTATGTCTTGACTTTCAAAATACTAAAACCAAGCAGAGCTGCAAGATTCTCTCTGTTTAAGAGCCTAAAAAGCTGCGCCCATTGCCCTGCTGGTGTGGTTCAGAGGTTGAGTGTCAACCTATGAACCAGGAGGTCTTTTTTTTATTTTTATTTTTAATATATTTTATTGATATTGAACAGAGAGGAAGGGAGAGAGAAATAGAGAGAAACATCGATGAGAGAGAGTCATCGATCAGCTGCCTCTTGCACACCCCCAACTGGGGATATGCCCGCAACCAAGGTACATGCCCTTGACCGGAATCGAACCCGGGACCCTTCAGTCCCCAAGCCGACGCTCTATCCATTGAGCCAAACCAGTCTCGGCATGAACCAGGAGGTCTTAATTCTCGGTCAGGGCACCTGCCCTAGTTGTGGGCTCGGTCCCCAGTGAGGGGCATGCAAAAGGCAGCTGATCAGTGATTCTCTCATCATTGAGGTTTCAATATCTCTCTCCCTCTCCCTTCCGTTCTGAAATCAATCAATCTATGTATAAAAACAACTGAGCCAACTTACTGACCTAAAAGTGGTGATGTGCTCTATTTTTGGGTCTGAAAGCCCTTTTCCCTTCAGCTCCCTGTAGATGACTTCCTCGTGTCTCATGGAACTGTGGACACGAGTCTTGACTAGACTGATCCTAATACCCTCTGCTCATTGCCTAGTGGAGAGGGCGACTGGGTTCATGTAACACAAGCCTCCCGCAATCCCGGATTGAACAGGATTTCCCGCCCTCAGCCCTTTCACCCTCCTGTAATGGAGCTGACCTCGGTCTCATTACATCTTGGCTCCGGGACACTACTGTGGCTGAGCAAAGCTGCTCCCATGCCCAGCACACCACTCGCTCAGTTACTCTGCACAGCTGGTCAGGCTCCACTCAAGGTGCCTCTCGTCAGCGCTGCTGGCCGATAGGAATGCCTGTCCTTCTTTCTGCCAAACTCTGCCGCCTTCCTGACAACTCGGATGGACCCTCCTGGCTTCAGCCGCTCCCTCCCCACAGCTTCCACCTCCGCACGGCCGCCTAGAGTTAGGGAACCTTCAGTCTGCCAACTCCTGGACTTGATAGTGTGTTATTTGGGGCCTCTTGCTAAGCGTGGGTCCCTGTACTAGCCTGGCTGCTCCCTTTTCCATTTCATCTTTTTGGACCCCCAATTTAAACAGATGCCAGGCACCATGCTACATCCCAGGATGGTCATAAATCAGATCCTATCTATCTTTGCACTCTGAGCATTCACAGTACAGTAACAACCGCACACTGTGTCTTACAAGTGACATGGAAAGCATAAGGCTTTCGGCAGCATCAGGCAGGAGAGAACTCTCAGGGAGACGGGGAAGTGGTCGAGTAGAGATAATGTCTGAGATGAGATGAGGTTCTCAGGATGAACACCGGTCTGACTAGACAGGGATGCTTCCGCCCCCTGTGTGGGGCTCCGGCCCCGGCCACATGGGCCCTCCTGTAACGTCCTCCCACCCTGTTCCTGCAGTCACACTGACTCAAGTTCAAATTATTGCTCAATCACGGACTGTTACTATTCTACTCAGATATTCCAAGACTCAGTTTCCTTATTTGTAAGAAGTCAGTGACAATAACAGTTTACCTAACGGTACGAATAAAGGAAGTGTTGCCGACGAAGCCCTTTGCAATCAAAGGTGCTCAGTAATGTCAGGCACAAGTGGAGGGGTCTCTGCTGTGGACATAAGTATCTTCTCCTCCTCCTCCTCCTCGGCAAGGCTGCGCTGTTCCCATCCCGCCCTCCTTCCTGCCGCTGCTGGCAAAACCAGCTGTGAACTCTGAGGTGCTGCAGGCTGAAGGAAAGCATTGTGGCCCGAGTCCAGGGAATCAGGTCTCAGCCCCAGCTCCGCCATCACTAGCTAAGCCAGCTGAGTCTCTCTACCCAATCTCAGTCCCTGCCAACTGCTGTTTGCAATAACTTCCATTCAGTCTCCTGGTGGGGTCCCTACCACACCTGGGGGTGGGGGCAAAGGGACACCTGCTCCATGGCCTGTCAGCAGCTCTCTTCCTGATGGCAAGGGAGGTTTTAGAGTCCACGGTGAAGAGTCTCAGCCCCAAGGCCCAGCCTGACCCACCACGGCCTTAGAATTCCCAGGGCTCTCATTTCCTATGGCTGGGTGGGAGACTGGCAGCCTCCCTACGCTGTGACCGGGCCAGCGGAGACTGCCTGCCCTCTTACCTCCTTTCTGGCCTGCTTGACTGCCTTGGCTCATTCCTGTTCGTGTTATTCTTATGTGCATTGCCCAAGCCATGACCCCATTCCGTCTTGCTCCACACTCATGAAATGGCTCCCCCGCTCCCCATTTCTTGGCGGGGGCGCTGGCTCTGCTGTGCCACTGCTAGCATTGGACCAGCAGTTCCACCTCTCGCCCTGGCCTGGATGTGGAGATCCCTTTCCCCCCCCAAATCCCAGAGGCTGGGGTGCTCTGGAGGACTTCCTCCCTCCCTCAGAAAACAGTCCTATTAGGAGAAACAAATGAAGAAGCTGTTCTAAGTGAAGCACAAAACCTCCTAACATAAGGTTGTGTTTTTTTTCTCTCCCTACCCTAAGGGGGCCAGGGACCTCTTGCCAGACCTGCATTTGCCCCTTTCCCTAAGCCTAATTTTTATGGTGACCTGGCCCCTTCTCAGCTTCTTAGAAAGATTTTCAGTAAAGCGATCACCCACTCTGGCAGGTAGTTCAGCTGGTTAGACCATAGTCCCAATTCACCACAGTTGTGGGTTGGATCCCACATACAAGCAGCAACCAATGAGTGCATAAATGAGTGGAATAACAAACCGATGCTTCTCTCTCTCTCCCCTGCCCTTTCTCTCTCAAATCAAGAAATAAAAAATTTAAAAAAAACTATAGAGATTTTTGCTCTAGCCCCGTGGTCGGCAAACTGCGGCTCATGAGCCACATGCAGCTCTTTGGCTCCTTGAGTGTGGCTCTTCCACAAAATACCCCGGCCTGGGCGAGTCTGTTTTGAAGAAGTGGCGTTAGAAGAAGTTTAAGTTTTAAAAATTTGGCTCTCAAAAGAAATTTCAATAATTTTACCGTTGATATTTGGCTCTGTTGACTAATGAGCTTTCCAACCACTGACCTCGCCAGTTTGGCTCTCAGTGGATAGAGTGTCGACCTATGGACTGAAAGGTCCCAGGTTCAATTCCAGTCAAGGACACAAGCCTGGGTTGCGGGCTCGATCCTGTGTGGAGTGCAGGAGGCAGTCAATCAATGATTCTCTCTCATCATTGATGTTTCTATCTCTCCCTCTCTGAAATAAATAAAAATATAAAACAAACAAATGAACAAAAAAACTATGAAGATTTTAAAAAACAACTATTATCCAAATACATGAATCTAAAAATAATGATAGCAGTTAGCACTGTGCTTACTGGGTGGAAGGACTCATTCAATCCTCAAACAAGGGGAGTACTGTTATCACCCCATTTTATAGATAAATACCTTGGCCAAGGTCATGCAGCTGATGCAGAGCTGATGTGCTGTCTCTATATTCCCCCCCATAAAATTCTCCACTGATGACTACTACTTCACCTTCCTAATATGCCTGACCACCCACAGCTAGGGCAGGGGTACTTAATACCAGAAACTGGCTGAGCCAACCCCCGCTCTGGGGAGGACCAGAAAGCCCTGGGGAGTCGGGGCAGGGGTTCCCAGATTATTGAAAAGCAGCCGCTCCTAAGTCAGGAACCAGCTGCCTCCGCTTCTTCTCTGACCCTACCTGCCCTGCGAGCCATCCATCCTGGCTCCCTGAGGACAATCTGGGACAGCTCCCGCGGTCAATGCCTCACAGCGGTGAGAGGCACCATTCCTGAGGCGATGGCCGGATATCATCCTGCTTCCCTAATACTTCCACTCTGGCGGCTCCCAGTGTCGCTGGGGCCAGCACAGTCTGACTCCCCAGGCCTCCTCGCTCCCCATTTCCTCCTCCCGGGCTAATTCCGGAACCGAGATAGACTGGTCCTCTCCAGCCAGAGCCCCTCACCTGGTGTCATAGTTGTCGGAGTTCTTGTCAAACTTGTAGGTGGGCGGGAAGAGCAGGGGGCCCTCCTGGAACTCCCGGAGCAGCGTGTCGCATCTCTTGGCGATGCTGAGCTGCGGAGAAGGGCACAGTCCCGTTTCCCAATGGTCCCAACCCCGTGGCCAGCACCACACTCCCTGTAAGGGATCAGCCATCAGGGCGGGGCAAGAGTCAAGCAATGCCACTTCACTTCCCCACAGCCCAGTGGCAGCCTCTGCATCCCACCCTCCAGAACAGCTGACGCCTTTTGCAAACATTACCCCACAGTCCCGGGCGAGGCAGCTGCCTGCCATCTCCCGATCCTTGGGCTAGAGCAGCGGTCGCCAACAGGTGGTCTGCAGACCACTGGTGGTCCGTGAGGTGCAAGAGGTTGGTGACCGCTGGACTAGAGGGACTAAGCTTTAGGTTCCATCTCTCTGGGAGCCGCTAGCATGTGTCAGAGGGGAGGGGTAGCAGGGTTCCCCCAATGGGAAGTATCTCATCCTCTAGGAGGCGAGCCAGCCTGGGGATGGGAAAGACAGGGATGCAAGAAGGTTGGTGCTCAACAGGCCAAAGGCCTTCTTTCTTCCTGTGATAACACACCCCTTAGCTCTAGCTGGTTCCTTCAAAAGACCAGGCCCTGACAGGACTGTCTGCCCCACCCCACCCTCAGTGTGAAGCCGGGTTAGACTCCTGCCTGCCTGGGCGCAGGGATTTCAGGGGACTGGGAAAGGAGAGAAGCACCACGGAACCTGAGCAGTGCTCCCCAGACTTCAGGGTGGACCTCCACCCTGGGCTCAGATCATCCCCCTGGAGCCCCCCCTTGGTACCTGGTCCTTCTCCCACAGGTCACTGTAGCTCTGACTCTTTACGGCTTCCCGAACAAAGTGCAACCCGAAGTCCTCGATCCGAAAGTTCATGTCTCCAAACCAGACAATGAGGCTTCAGAAAGAAAAGGCAGCTGAGGTGTGTGATGAGGACAAAGAAGGGAGGAGCAACAGATGGCTCAGGCGCTCCCTCCAGGGGCTGCAGGTGAGGAGTCAGGTGCTGGGGGAGTCAGGTGCTGGAGGAGTCAGGTGCTGGGAGAGGTGAAGACGGGGCACAGGCCAAACAGGCCTGTCCTCGTGGCTCCCACCCACCTTTCCAGATGAAGAGACCGGCCCCCAGGGCGAGTGGCAAATACTAGCAGGATCTGCCCCTCCTTCAATTTTAGTATATGTGCTGCCGAAGCGAGCACTCTGCCCCTCCTTCGATGGGCCACCAGGCAAGGCTGAGAACCAGCCCTCTGAACCACCCCAGGAACCCCAGGTTCTTGACCAGGGATGTTCTGAAGAGTCCAGGGCTTCTAGGCAGGACAGAGGGGCCAGGGAAGGGGAGGGGGTCCCAGACCTGAGGCAGGCAAAGCGTGATAAGGGGGCAGAGGGGCATCAGGGGCGAGGCTGGGAGAAGAGCACACACTGCCTCGGGCTGGCAACAGTGATGTGGCGGAGGACGCTAGCTGGGCTGTGCGGGAGAGGGCGGGGCGGCAGTTTGCAACCGCATGCTCACTCATGGTCCAGGATGTTGGGGATATCAGGTTCCTCAAAATTCTGCATCTCCAGGATCCAGTCAAAGTGCTCCAGCCGCTGGTCATTGTTGGCCAGGTGGGGGGGCAGGTGGCAGTTGATGATGCTGACATAATAGCCATAAAGCCTCAGGCAGATGTTGACGCCTCCTTTGTTCCCCTGGTAGGACAAGTGGCAAAAGGGCTGGATGTCCTCTGGGTGGAAAACACCTCTTTTTCCATCGTAGACCTAAGGGGAGATGGTCTCCCCTCCCACAGGCTTCCCGAGGGCCAGACCTTCAGCTTCCCAGGGTGAGCTCTCCATCCAGAGCCCAGCTCACCCAGCCTGAGTCTCAGGATATTAAGATCCCGGAGGCAGGAGCGTGGGTATGCGGGCACTATACTGGACAGAATGCCAAGGTTCATTTTACCCCTTTTTCCGTCTGTCCAGGTCTAAGGCCTCAGCCCTTCCCAGGCCAGGAAGCCTCCCAGTTCAGTAAGACTCGGTCCTTACCCAGTACCCGAAGAGGCCAGTGGGTGTGGATTTAGCACAGAGGATCTGGATGAAGGGCAAATGCTGACACTTGGCGAAGACCAGTAAGAGGAGCCCCTGCATGCGGACAGAGGAGACCTGCAGGACAGGGGAGGATAACGGTCATTCATCTCCCTGCACCGGCCACGTGGGCCCTGCCAGGCACTGTGCTACACAAATGCCCTCCCCCGGGGCTGTGGTATCTCAGTTCGTCTCAGAGTTTCACTCCCTTAGGATGCCAAAGGATGCATTGTGGGAGCTGAGCAAGTTTGTTTCTGTTCCTGGACCTGGAGGTTGAGGCCAGAAAGGCAAGGCATCATGCCATCAGGTGGGCATGGACTCTTCATCCCAGCCCCAGGCATGCCTAGGCGCCCCTCTCACCGATGCCCTCCTGAGGTCCGCTGGGCACTCCTGGGCCCCCACCCCTGTGGGTCAGGGCCTCATAGAGGAATGCAGCCATGCAGGAGAGTGGCTAAGGGCACCGACTTTCAAATCCTGGCTCGGGTTCTTAGTATTTGATACTGGACAAGTCTCTCAACCTATTATCTCATTGAAAAAGCAGGAATCTATCTCACAGATACTGGAAGAATTAACTGGCAGCTATTATGTTTTGGTTTAAGGATTCTTTTTTATTTTTAAAATATATCTTATTGATTTTTTTACAGAGAGGAAGGGAGAGGGATAGAGAGTTAGAAACATCGAGGAGAGAAAAACATTGATCAGTTGCTTCCTGCACACCCTCTACTGGGGATGTGCCCATAACCAAGGTACATGCTCTTTTTTTTTTAAATATATTTTATTGACTTTTTTACAGGGAAAGGGAGAGAGATAAGAGAACCAGAAACGTCAATGAGAGAGAAACATCGACCAGCTGCCTCTTGCACACCCCTTACTGGGGATGTGCCTGAAACCAACGTACATGCCCCTGACCGGAATCGAACCCGGGACCTTTCAGTCCGCAGACCGATGCTCTACTACTGAGCTAAACCGGTTTCGGCCCAAGGTACATGCTCTTGACGGGAATCGAACCTGGGACCCTTGAGTCCGCAGGCCAACATTCTATCCACTGAGCCAAACTGGTCAGGGCTTGGTTTAAGGATTCTTAAAAGTAAATACAGCCCAAGCTGGTTTGGCTCAGTGGATAGAGCATCAGCCTGTGGACTGAAGGGTCTCAGGTTCAAATCTGGTCAGGGGCACATGCTCGGGTTGCGGGCTCAATCCCCAGTAGTGGATGAGCAAGAGACAACCGATCAATGATTCTCTCTCATCACTGATGTTTCAATCTCGCTCTCCCTCTCCCTTCCTCTCTGAAATCAAGTTTAAAAATAAATAAATAAATAAATACAGGGAAGGAACATGAGAGAGCCTTCCAGGATGCTGGAAATGTGACTCTTGACTAAACTGGCAGTAACATGGATGTACATACAGATAAAAATCCATCAAACCGTACACATACTTTCTGAAAATGTTATAGCTCAGTTAAAAAAATTAAGAAAATGCTGCCAATTAACTACAGATGGTGGGCAGTTGGATGTTCACAAAGCAACATAGAGGGGTTGACAGTGATACACAGGTTGGGAAGAAGAGCTAACATCTACCGACGCTCCCTGTCCAGCTCTGTACGGACCCTCTCCCCGTTTTCCAGATGAATGACCCAGGCTCCCGGAGAGCCTGTAACCAGCAGGACCACCTGGACACCAACAGCAAAGCACCAGGATGCCCAAACCCCTGCTGCCCGAGGCAAGAGGGGGTGGGCGTGAGAATGGCCTTAGCCAGCGGCCCTCTATCTCAGCTCCAGGCTGTCTACATCCACCCCTCAAGTAGCTGTTTCCGGAGCCGAGGTGCAGAGGCCAGGGAGGAAATCCCCGGGTGGGGAGTGTGTGCCGGGCCTTCCAGGAATTATGAAACTTGATCCCGCAGGCCAGGAGCTCTGGCACTGTGGAGGAGTCCACGCAGGGGGAACCCCAAACCCAGGACTGAGTGAAGGGGCGTGAGAACCTAGGGCTGAGCCCTGGTTGCTGTCACTGTGTCCACTGCTCTTCCCTCTATCCCCAGTCTGGGTTTCCACTCCTCACATGTGTGTGAAGGAGGGGAAGGGCTAGATATGAGGGAGTGACTCCCAAGGAAGCGAGTAAAGATTCAGGGAGAGTTTCAAGTTCAATCCTAACTTGGAGTTGATTTGGGCACCAGTCCACTTTGTGAAGGAGCAGGGAAGTGGGGGTGGGGTGGGGCAGGAAAGCCTCAGACGCGGAGAAAGGGTGGGGCTGGAGGAGAGGCAGATTGGTAGGGAAGTTCCAATTGGAGGAAATGAAGTGGGCAGGGCTAAGGAAGGGCCTAGAAAGTAGGTGACTGAGAGTCCTGCAGCCAGCAAAGGGGGCAGCCCCAGGCTTCCAAACCTTCTCCTGACCATGGACAGGCTGCAGGGGGGCTCGCCCCTTCCCCTCAATTCTTGGCTGGGGATAGGAGGGTCGTCTGATTTGGGTGCCAGGCCCTCAGGCTGGTGTCCCAACCTTGGGAGGTGGCAGGGGTGGGAAAGGGTTGTATCCCTGCCACAGGCTGAGCTAATTTCCTTGGCTCAATTCCATCCTACCAATCCCTTGCCAATTAGCTGAGGTGCAGGAGGCTTCGTCTGGAAAAGAAAGTGGGTGGTGAGAGAAGTGGTTCTGCCCTCTGAGAGGACCTAGCTCCGTATCTGCAGGAAGAGGCCTGATTTAATCTGAAGGGAGCCGAAGGCTCGGTGCTGGTGTTTTCTAAGCCTCATAGCTACCATGTAGTACAATACCATGTAGTATTTCCTCTTTTGGCTCTGTCCTCCTTGGGAGGAGTCACAGCTCTTGCTTCAGCACCAATAAACAGACTGGGGCAACAGAATTAATTCTAAAGTCACCCAGCCACCCAGCAAAGGGAATAGGGCAGTTCTGGTATTTCCCCGAAGCATTGCATCAAGGGCTTTGAATGGGAGTGTTTCACCCCTCAGCGATGCAAGGCAGAAAGGTGAAGATTGGCAATCTGGAGTCTTCCTGTGGATTCTCCTCTGGTCTAAAGATTCCTCAAAAAGATACCGGCCCTGCAGACTGGCAACCCTTTGCCTCCACACATATCTCCCCTTTCCTAACCTCTGGGCTTCTGACAATTTGAGGTGCATGACCTCTATTAATAGGAGGATCCTCTATACCAACAGTTTAGCCAATAGACAGGATACCTGTCAGCCTTGGAGCTCACCAGTATAGCAATATAGTAGCTAAGAATAGGGGTTATGTCCTGGCCAGGTGGCTCAGCTGATCATAGTGTTTTGGGTTCAATTCCTGGCCAGGGCACATAGCTAGGTTTTGGGTTTGATTCCCAGCTGGGTGCGTATGGGAGGCAACTGCTCGATGTTTCTTCCTCACATCTATGTTTTTCTCTCTCACCCTTCCTCTAAATAAAGAAAAAATTTTTTAAAAAAATATATTTTATTGATTTTTTACAGAGAGGAAGAGAGAGGGGTAGAAAATTAGAAACATTGATGAGAAAGAATCATCGACCAGCCGCCTCCTGCACACCCCCTGCTGGGGACGTGCCTGCAACCAATGTACATGCCCTTGACCGGAATCGAACCCGGGACCTTTCAGTCCACAGACTGACACTCTACCACTGAGCCAAACCGACTTTGGCGAAAAATTTTTTTTTTGATAAAACACACACACACACACACACACACACACACACACACCCACCCATATCACTGGGTGAAGATAAAAAAAAAAAAGGAAAAAAAAAAAAGAGCCCTCGCTGGTTTTTCTCTGGTTAGAATGTCAGCCCTCGGACTGAAGGGTCTCAGGTTCGATTTTGGTCAAGAGCATGTAGCTCAGCTGCAGGCTCGATGTCTGGCCCTGGTTCAGGACATGTGAGGAAGGCAACCGAAAGATGTGTCTCACATCGAAGTTTCTCTCTCCCCCTCCTATTCTCTAAAAGGTCAATGGGAAAAAATATCCTCACATGAAGATTAACAACAACAACAACAGAATACCTTCCTCTATGAAATCAATAAAAATATATTTAAAAAAACAACAACCCTGGATTCAAACTCTAGAGAGGCTATATGACTTCTGACTCTTGATTTAATCTGTAAAATATCTGTATTACAAGAGTTAAGATTTAAAAATAATGTAATAAAGAGCTTATTTATAATGTCTAACATCAAGTAAGAATTTGATAAATGGCGGAAACTGGTTTGGCTCAATGGATAGAGCGTCGGCTTGAGGACTGAAGGGTCCCGGGTTTGATTCCGGTCAAGGGCATGTACCTTGGTTGTGGGCATATCTCCAGTAGGGGGTGTGCAAGAGGCAGCTGATCGATGACTCTCATCGACGTTTCTATCTATCTCTCTCCCTTCCTCTCTGTAAAAAATCAATAAAAAATATATTTAAAAAAAAAGAATTTGATAAATGGTAGCAATTATTATTATACGCAGAGATTGTAAGCTAGCCATATGAGGAGAGACTGCTTAGGGATGGGCAGTCACTGAGGGGTTAATGAGCCTTCTGCATCCCCCCAAGGAATTCTCCCAACCTGAACAACATCAGGGTGTAAACTAACCCCTGGGGTCCCAGCTCAGCTCCAGCTCCTGTAGTCAGGAGCCCCAGGGAACTAGGTGTAACTGAGGCTTAGGCCTTTAAGTAATGGGAACCAACATGAAAGCCTGAGTGGGAGACAAAAGGACTGGGGGTTAGGGACAAGAGGTTAGACACATTTCCCAAGTGCCCGTGAACTTGAAAATTACCTTGATGAAGCTGAGAGGGGAAAGCACATCCATGAAGAATCTGCTCCATGGGTCTTCAAAGGCAGTGTCAGAAAGGAGGCTCATGATCCCACAGTTCATTTCCTGCAAACTGCCCCCCGCAGGTCAGAGGCTCCCCCTGGCCCGAAGGGTCCTGCCTCCACCACAGACAGCCAATGCAGCCCTCAGCGGCCTTTCAAGCGTTGGGTTCGAAAGATCTCTCCCTCCCCTGGCTCCTGACTTCCACCCCCTTGCCATTGCTGACCCAGGACAAGAGAGCTGGCCTGAGGCAGGCGGAGAGCTAACCTCCAGCCTCCAGGGAGGGGGAGGACGGATCACAGCCGTTCCCAGGAGACAGCTTGGGACTGGGCAGGCTTCCCTGACCTCCGTCAGAGGGACAGGTGAAGGGGCCCTGCGGACACCTACCCGATGACATACATGTCCAGGTTCGGGCCCTGGTTGTCCAGCTGAAGGAGACTATCAAGGTCCACAGGGGGAGCTGCAGAGGCCACATTCCATGTCACGACATGTATGCTGTGGGAGGGATAAAGAGTGGTCGTGGAGAAAGGAGGACGGCACACGCACAGGTAACTGAAGGGCGTGCAGGCCTGCTCACAGACACACCACTGTCCACTAGTCACAGTGAGAAACAGGACTTCCTGCCTCCGGTGGTGGGGATTGGGGCCCTCCATCTCCACCTGAGTTCCCTGAAGCGGGAAATTCCCACCCTGGCTTGGCTCCTCCACGCAGGCCCACCGCTGCCCACATCTGGCAGCTCTGGTGCTGCTGACACGAGGAGAGCTGAAGGGGTAGGCGGTCGGGAATTTATTAACTTTACCAACTATTCACCCTGCAGCAATCATCTGAGGCTCAGTCAGCAGCTTTCCACTCCCCCGTCTTTAATCCAGTTCCTGAGACCACCAGAAAGATTCTGGAGGCTGTTTTCACCTTGTGAGAGGCCTCAGCACCAGACAGGGAAACTTAAAAAATAACAGGGATAACGCCATGTTCCCTTCCTCACCCCTTCCTATGGCTGTGATGCCTGGAGCAAAACTACTTCTGCCGGCACATAAACAAGCCTAAGGAGCCCTAGCTTGTTTGGGTCAGTGGATAGATAGGGTCGGCTTGGGGACTGAAAGGTACCTGGTTCAATTCCAGTAAAGGGCACATATCAGGTTTTGGGGCTCGATTCCCAGTGGAGGATATGCAGGAGGTAGCCAATCAATGATTCTCTCTCCCCCTCTTCTTTCTGCTCTGAAATTAGTTAAAAAAAAAAAAAAAAAGCCCAAGGAGAAGATTCCAAATAACAGCTTTCTCAGCACCTCCAAAGTCATAGTGAGAAACAGGACTTCCTGCCTCCGGTGGTGAGGATCTCAGTAGTCTTTTGGGAAAAGGAACCAGTTGGATAATATTCTCCATCTCGGCTTCATCTGAGCCCCAGGGAAACAACAGCACAGCAGATCTCAGGGGCAGGGGGGACTCCAAGGAAGCCCAGATGGTGCTGAGTCCAGAGCAGGCAGTGGCTACTTAGCACAAACCCTGTGGAGAGCAAGGACAGCCACCCAGCCTCTGGTGAGTCCTAGGTACGTCCCCGAGGACCTGCCGCAGCTGGTCTAGACTGGGAGAACGCTACAAAAGGGTAGGCTTCTCGGCCAGCCCCTGTTCTCAGAGGTTCAAGTTCTAAAACGCACTTGAATAAATTCTTGGCCAGCTGAAACAACTTCCTGCCGCATTCCCTTGAACATCAACAAAACAAAAACCCTCTCCCCAGGCCCTAGAGGCTGTGGTTCCTTTGTTTGTTTGCGATCTCCCCCTGCTGTCCGACAGAGGATTAAGGAAGGCAGCCCTTTCATTCCGAGGCTCCGTGTTTTCCCACGGACCTGATCTCAGTGAATGGGGAGCTCAAGTCGGGATTTCTTGCCCTAATTCCCAAGTCCCACGATCAGCAGCAAATCCCTGCACCGTGACCTGCACTAAGTAAGCTGGTGATTAGAGTTGTTGTTCCTTCTTCAAGAGCAACCATGGGACCGGGCGACAGGATCTTAACTACATTTGTTTTCCGATTTTAGGAGGTCACCACGGGATCGGGCCGGTTAACAGTAAGAACAGGTTTCTACTGTAGAGCTGAGGAGAGCCTTGTTACATCTTTAAGTTCAAACCGCCCCCCGTGCCTTCTCCAGAAGCCAGCCGGGCACCTGCATGGGGCGCCGGGTGGGAAAAGCCCGGCGCCGGCGTGTGGAAGGGGCGTGGGGCCGGACTCACAGCCCGGGGACACCGGGATGAGGTGCGAGTGACCCGGAGGCCGGTCCCCTCTGCCCCGGGCCGTTTCTGCCCCCGGTCCGCAGCCCCTTGGGGTCGGAAGCAGCGGCGATCGGCTCGGCGGAGGCCTCCCTCACCTGAGCTTCCTGTCCCTCGGCTCGGCTGGCTTCAGGGGGCTCACAGGCTCCATCGTGCCCCGCGGAGAGCCGGCCGCTCTCGCCCGGCGGGTCCCGGGCCGGTCGGCGCTCTGGGGCCGCGGTCCGCCGGCGCGGGCAGCCGGACTGTTTTCTTCCGGGTTCGGGCTACGCCTCGGCCCCCGTAAGAGGCGGGGCCTGGGCGCCGGGCGCGGGGCGGTGCGGTGGGGAGGGGGCGGGCTCCCAGCCGCGCAGAAAGGTGAGGCTGGAGGACGGAGCTTAGGGGCGGGGACGCGAGAGGCGTGTCCTGGCGTCGGAGAACCCGACGTCACACTGCCCGCCCGCCCGCGTGGGCGTCGCCGCCGCCTTTGGCCACTCCCCCGGCTCCCAGAGTGCCCCACGCCAGGCCCGCCGGGAGGGGCCTCTTCCGGGGAGGCCCCGCCACGCCCGCTGAGCGGCTCCGGACCCAGCGGGTCCCACTGATACGGAGTCTGTAACCTCTGCGCTGCCCCAACCCCGCCCCGCCCCTCCCAACGCCCAGAGGCCCCGAGAGGCTGCTGCCTGCTGTGCTGCCTGTAATCCAGCACCTCCCCGTCCCGGTCTCCAGCCTCCCCCCCCCCCCAACTCCAGGTGATCTCTCAGGGAGTCTTTGGGCTCCTCCATTCTTAGCTCTCCACGCCGGTTAAATTGTGCTTCGTTTTTCGCGCTTCAGATCCATTCGATTACGTATTACACATTGGACATTTGGGGGTTCTTGGACTCTTAGAAAAGTAGCCATCAACGAAGGAGGAAACACAAGTCAACGCCTCTATTTAACAACCAAACGAGGAATGATTATTTACTTTGTCAAAGAGGAACTGATTTCTTTTAAAATCATTGGATCTGATGAGAGCCCTAACGTCACCGAGAAAAATTCAGTTTTACAAAAAAAGCTTCATGAGGGTCACAGACCCGGAAGCAAACTTAAGAATTATTTTAAATATATGTGTTGTTTGGTAGGATGGGGAAAAGAGATGTGAAGAAGGGATATAAAAGCAAAAATAACTGCCAGTAGGAAATGGCCAAATTACTTTCAGATATATGATGTTTGTGCAAGTAAAATAACAAGGGGGTGGGTTTAATTTATTGAAGTACACCTGCAAAAGTTTTCAGAGATACCTTGTACCTTTCCTAATCCTTTCCTGGCAAAATGGGTGACAATCAGCAAGTTTGCAGATATGTAAGTTGTAAATGGACATAAAAACATCACCAATAAGTTCGACTCCGTGAGGCTCTGTCTAGGATTTTATTAGACTGCTTTTCCCCCCAATATACCTGTATTGGAAGATTGAGACAAAAAGGCACAAACTCACATTAAATAAAGTAATCTAAACAAGTCTACAAAGTGTATTTTGTAAAAGAAGTAGCACTAGAAACCAACCAAAATAAGTCAGGGAGTCCCAGTAGGGACTGTAAGAGAACTTGGGAAGATACACGCCTGCCCACAATACTGACCTGTCCCTGACCTCTCTCTCAGAAGGCCAGAGCCCAGCTCTCCTCCTAGAGGCACTGCTGCTTCCAGCTGGGACCGTGACCCTGGAAATCCAAGGGAAAGGAGGCAGCTGATCTGAAGATGCGTGGCACATCCTCAGGCACTACCCTGGAGTGGAGTCTTCATGTAAGCTCCTCTGAGTACCAGCCAGTTTGGGGGGATGTGAAGAGGGAAGGGGGATTCTTAAAAGAAGACTACACTGTTGCCCAGCAGCAACACTATCTGTGGGGATGGAATAGATGGAGAAATCCCTCCTTATGCTTATATGGGCTGCAGCCCCAGACCTGACTGACTCCAGGAAGTTCTAGCTCAGCTCATTGGAGGCTTTCATACTGGGGCAACAGGGGAAGGTGGCCGGACCCAGAGAGAAGGCAGATGGAGAGTGAGCCCCCACCAGAGATGGGGTGATATGTGTGAATCTCAGAGAAGAGCTGAAGGGAGAAGTCTAACATCTGACCCTCAAACCACCTGCACAACTGTTGAGAATGTTACCAGTTGTTTATCCCAGGATAACCCACATCTGGACTCACTTGGGTGATGAAGAAGCGAGAATGTCCAGCACAAATACAATTGTAGCTAATGCAGTGCTTGTAGGAAAACACATTTTTCTCCAACGGGAACGCTTCTTCAATTTTTCCAGTCAAGATAAATGCTACTAGCAGTTGGGATGTTAATAACCAACTGACCTGTACACCAAGCCCCTTGCTGCTATGGACCCCACAGGATGAGGACACTAAAAGGGAGGTGTAACAGGCCTCGGTGAAGGTCAGAGCTAACCGTTCTGAGGAGTCTGAGTCTGTCCACCTTTGCCCCAGGAGGGCTGCAGGAAGGCCTCCTTCAGGATGTCACAGGCGCAGTCCTGTGAGAGACTCCCTTATTGCACTTAGAAATAAGGCAAAACTAACAAAAATTTGAGGATAAATTTTCCCACTCCGCTTCTCCCCCAACGGAGATTTGGTTTCTCTCAGTAGCAGCTGTGCCCAGGCTAACATGGGCTTGGATCACTATACACTTGGCCAACATTACTTGACAGGGCTTGGGAAGTGTTAGGTGACGCCACAGCTATCTCAGACTCTCCCATGGAGAAGGCAGACCCAGGTTCTGCCAAGTTGTAGGAAAGTCTGAAGCGCTCAGTGGCTTTTGTTCCCTGGAGCCTGGACACTCTCACTGGCCTACTTTGGTAGAGTTCTGTACTGTGGTCACTACTTGCTTCTGATTGTCCAGGACAGAACTCAGTGTGGGGGCAGGATGAACTGAGTTCTTGATTCCCAAATCCTTTCCAGCAACTGGAGACAAGAGGGAACACGATCTGCTGGGAAGAAGCTGTTTGCATGCTCGTTTTGTGCAGCATGAAAAGATCAGGACTTTTGTGTCCTGACCAGCCTCAAGGACAGAGGACAAGAATCTAAGAAAGCACAGAGAAAAGAGGATTATTGCTGAGTGACAGCACCAGCCCAAATGGGAACAGGAGCATGGACATACAAAGCTCCTCGGGGGGCACACTAATCAGTATATATAGGGCAGGCTCGATTCTAAGGTGGAGAGCTGGCCCTGGCATATTATGGACTCTGCAGAGACAAAGACAGAGTGGGCAACAGGAGGGCTGAGAACCCATAGGTACGTCTAAGACTAGTGACCAGAGGTGCAGTGCCTGGGGCAGGGGTTATTTCTATTTGTTAAATTTTCAAAGCAGAGGCTGGCTGGGCCTTGGGTACGTCTTTGGTGCTTAGAGCACTCTAACAGTGGGTTGCTGGGAGCAGAGGTCAGAGCTCTGAAGCTACATTGCTGTTCTGTGGAACTAGGGGGAAAACTATTTCTGACTCATCCTCATCCCCTCTCCCCAGGTGAGCACTCAAAATTGCAAAGATCTGTTCAGGAAGCAAAATACTTCAGTTTATCCCAAGGCTGAAAACAAACAAACTTAAATCGATTAAATCACCACATCACAAACGGCAGCTATTTTGAAGGACTAACAATGTCACTTGAAAATAAAGTGGGGGCACACAGAAATGGGTTGAGAACACAATGGCTGGAGAGGGAGGAGCTGTAAATACAGCCACCTCCATGCCACATATCTCAGAGGAGCAGGCTCCTGCACACAGGGGCTTCATAATACCAGAGGGTCTATTTGTTCACAATATTAAAGGGCATCTAGGATTACTACAGTAAGGGACTGAAAGTTGCCTGAAGAATGGGCACAGAAAGGCTGCGTCCGATGATGGCCTGTCACTCAGGAGGGTGGAGCTGCTGGGCCTTCCTGTTGACCACTGTCTTGCAAAACTGGAAGAGAAAAACAATTATTAAGGAAGCAACAAAGGAAAACAGAAACACTGTAAATCATTGGGGAATTTCAAAAGGAAGAAGAATGCCAGTTGGTGGGGGTGAAAGGGAGAGACAGAAGTAAGGGTCAAGCAGTGACTGAGAAGCGGACATTGTAACAATACTTGGGCATATCTCTTATCTCCCAGTTCTCAAACCGACACATGTGCCAGGGAGAGAGGTGTGATCTGCCCGAATCCCTCCCACCCCTGGCCTCCTAGTGCTAGGGGACAGCCAGTTTTTATTTGATAAAATGATCTCTTAGAGACTGATGGAGAACCAGGCCAGGTTTTGTATGTGTGTGTGTGGTATTTTAAAAATATATAAATTTTTATTGATTTCAGAGAGGAAGAGACAGAAACATCAATGATGAGAGAGAATCATTGATCTGCTGCCTCCTGAAAAACCCCTACTGGGGAATGAGCCCGAAACCCAGGCATGTGCCCTTGACCGGAATCAAACCCGGGACCCTCCAGTCCACAGTCCGAAGTTCTATCCAATGAGCAAAACAGCCAGGGCTATGTGGTATTTTTAATGTATATATATTCATTGTTTTCAGAGAGGAAAGGAGAGGGAGAGATAGAAACATCAATGTTGAGAGAAAATCATTGACTGGCTGCCTCCTATACGACCCCTACTGGGATGGAGCCCCAAACTTGGGCATGTGCCCTGAGCAAGAATCAAACTGTGATCTCCTGGTTCATGGGTTAGTCAGGTTTTTTTCATTCTATGACCAAGCCCTCTGAGCTGCTGGAAAAACAGGTCTGGAGGTGTGTAGGGCACTGGGAGCAATTAGAAGGAAGGGAATTAGGGGAGAGTAACAATATGAAATAAGGGACATCCCATTCTGGTCCTATGACTTGGGCAAAAATACTCTCTAAGCTTCTGAAAGATGCTACCTCTGACTAGGACAGCTACTTAGTGTGAGATCAGGGGATATGAGGAGGAAGGAAATTAAGCATCATACACAACAGACTTTCGGGTGGGTTGGGCAAGGGATGCTATCAGTTGGGAGTTAGGAACTGCTCTGGCACTGGGTGAGGGTGGGGGGTAAAGAGAATGCCCTAGAATGCCAGCTTCAACGTGAAATGGCTCCAGTTAGGAGAGGAAGAGTAATTAGTTGCAGAGAATCTTCAATTCTGCATCCACCGCCCCCATCCCACCTGTCTCACTACCCTGTGTATGTTTCTTTCTGGAGAGTTCTTTGGCCCCTGAAATGTACTATCATAATTTCTTCCAGTGGAAGTCCAAAAGCATGACAAGCCTGTGGCAGTCATCATGATTCCTGGAGAGTAGGATGAGGAATGAAGTGGGTTTTCTGACGGACAGTGAGCGCTGAGGCCTTGGGGACCCAAACTGATGCTAGCACCTATGGCATGCACAGTGGGAAACGGTACATACAGTGCAGAAGGGAGTGGAGTGGCTTTAGTCATCTGCTGTCATTCCTTTCACTGGGTCCCTTTGTCTCATCTGAAACAGAAAAAGAAAAAAAAAAAATGAAGCCTCTTGCTGCTGATGGAACTCCACCACAGACACATCCTGCCTATAGAGTCAATCAGAAGAATAGAGTTCTGCATACATAGAGCCAAAGCTAACGCATGTTATTATTTCTTTGTTCCAAACGCTGTTCTGTAGCATTTGTACATACACAAGCTCTGAAGAATCTGGACTTTTAAGCTACAGCCATCCTCAGAGTTACGTTTTATTCACCAAAACTCTAATACCGACACATTTTGCAGAGATTCTACGCCAGTAGCAATAGTTTTCCACTGGGAAACATCCTCAGAATACATTTCTTTTTTTTCTTTTTTTTAAAATATATTTTATTGATTTTGTACAGAGAGGAAGGGATAGAGATAGAGAGCTAGAAACATCGATGAGAGTCATCGATCAGCTGCCTCTTGCACACCCCCTACTGGGGATGTGCACGCAACCAAGGTACATGCCCTTGACCGGAATCGAACCCGGGTCCCTCAGTCCCCAAGCCGACGCTCTATCCATTGAGCCAAACCATTCTCGGCCTCAGAATACATTTCTTGCCACATTTCAAACCCATGTGTTCACACACACACACACACACGCACGCGCGCACACTACATATGTCCATGTGGAACATGGGCATGGTATAAAACCATTCTCCTGGTCCTCCCCAATGTAGGTAAGTTTCCTCAAACATGATAAAAATAATTGCCTGGCCGAAACCGGTTTGGCTCAGCGGTAGAGCATTGGTCTACGGACTGAAAGGTCCCAGGTTCGATTCCGGCCAAGGGCATATACATTGGTTGCAGGCACATCCCCGGTAGGGGGTGTGCAAGAGGCAGCTGGTCGATGTTTCTCATCGATGTTTCTAGCTCTCTATCTCTGTAAGAAAATCAATAAAATATATTTAAAAAAAAATAAAATCTTGCCGAAACCGGTTTGGCTCAGCGGTAGAGCGTTGGTCTGCGGACTGAAAGGTCCCAGGTTCGATTCCGGTCAAGGGCATGTACCTTGGTTGCGGGCACATCCCCGGTAGGGGGTGTGCAAGAGGCAGCTGGTCGATGTTTCTCTCTCATCGATGTTTCTAGCTCTCTATCTCTCTCCCTTCCTCTCTGTAAAAAATCAATAAAATATATATTTTAAAAAAATAATAAAATCTTTTAAAAAATCAATAAAATATATATTTTTAAAAATAAATAATTGCCTGGGTTATTATATGTAGATTATTGGGTCCCAGACTTGATAAATCAGAATCCATAGGAGAGGGACCATAAGTGAATCATAAAATCAATCAATCTGAGAAGCCTCACTTCTCATATCCCACAGCCAAGATCCTCTGCTCCGAACGGGAAAGTCTATTTTCAGACACATCTATGAGTAGGCTCGTGGCTATACCTAGAAAACCTGTTTTCTGTAGATTTTGCTCAAAACTCACTTTCTTGAATTGTATCTTTAAATTATTATTGTTTTTGTCTAAAATTAACACCTGTTACTGTACTACTTAAGGGTTCAACGAATTTAAGAGTTTCCAACATGACAGATCTGTGAAGGATAAGGGCACTGTCATATTTTTAAAAGGACAAAAACTTACCCTATGGGATAGATAGGAACTGGGGCTATTTTGTTTGAGCATAGTATGTAAGGTAGATATAGAAATAAATATAAATATAACAGTTCCCTAGCTCTGTCCTATGGGAAGGCCTGGGAGCACCAACACCTGTAGTAATGAGCACAGCTAGCAGCCACACACCTCCCTCCCTGAAAGGAACCAGGGTTCCTCAGAGAGATGGCTGATTCTAGGGTTGAGCCATGGAAAGAACAAGACCAGCCTGGAACACCCTGTTGTGCTTCAGGTGAACAAAGGTAAGTAACCTCACCAATAACTAGACAGGAGGATAGAATACGATGAAAAGAACACAGAATCTTTGACATTCTGGCCTAAAATACATAAACTGGGTCTTAATCATGCAGAATCACTGGACAAAACCAAATTGAGAGACATTCACAAAATGACTAGCCCTAAAAAGTGTTAAGGTCATGGCTGTCCAGGAAAAAATGAGGAATATCACTAGGTGAGAGACTAGAATGCTGCAGTGTACGGTCCTGGGCTGTATCCTTTGCTTTAAAGCAGGGGTGGCCCTTTTTCTGCCGAGGGCCATTTGGATGTTTATAATATAACTCGCAGGCCATACAAAATTATCAACTTAAAAACTAGCCTGGCCGCTGTGGCTCAGTGGTTGAGCATGAACTAAGAGGTCACCAGTTTGGTTCCCAGTCAGGGCACATGCCAGGGTTGTGGGCTCAATCTTCAGTGGGGGTGCATGCAGGAGGCAGCCAGCTGATGTTTCTCGCTTAGCAATGCTTCTATTTCTCCAACCCTCTTCCTTTCTCACTCTCTAAAATTAAAATACAAATCAATGAAAACATTAAAAAAATGAGCCTGCTATATTTGGTCAAACATCTTAATTCATTGTTAATACCTTGCCAGGGCCAGACCACATGATTTCATGGGCCTAAAATGACCAGATGTTCCCACTCCTGCTTTAAAGGAATGGAGTCTTTGGATAAAGAAGTACTGTATTCTTGCCATTTTCTAGAAGTCTGAAATTACTTAAAAAGTTTTAAAAAGACAAAAATGTGGCGGCCAGCATGCTCAGTGGTTAAGTATTGACCTATGAACCAGGAGGTCACAGTTTGATTCTAGTCAGGTCACATGCCCAGGTTGTGAGCTTAATCCTAAGTATGGGATGTGCAGGAGGCAGCCAATCAATGGTACACTCTTATCATTGATGTTTCGATCTCTCCTTCTCCCTTCCTCTCTGAAATCAATAATAAAACAAAAAACATGCTTATTAAATGTCAGCTCATTAAAGATCACATATATTTTCAATAATCAGAGAGATAAGTAATTTATTATGGGAGCAAAGTCCCTTGGGCCTCACCTAGATCCCTGTATAGCCTGAAAGTTCAATGCTAACGCAAAGCCAGGCCCTGTTTTCCTACTGCTTGAAATAAGATGCAACTTCCCATCAGGGAACCTGATAGTTTCCCCTACTCTCAGAGACAAGGTGCCCCAGGAGGGTGCCACTGCAATAAAAGTGCATTATTTTATTCTTACTAGAGGACCAGTGCACTACATTTGTGCACTGGGGGTGTCCTTTAGCCCGGCCTGCGCCCTCCCTCTCGCAGTCTGGGACCCCCTGGGGGATGTCTGTCTGCTGGCTTAGCTGGCAGTCAGACATCCCTCTCGCAGTCCGGGGCTCTTTTTTTTTTTTTTTAAATATATTTTATTGATTTTGTACAGAGAGGAAGGGAGAGAGATAGCGAGTTAGAAACATCGACGAGAGAGTCATCGATCAGCTGCCTCTTGCACATCTCCTACTGGAGATGTGCCCGCAACCAAGGTACATGCCCTTGACCGGAATCGAATCCGGGACCCTTCAGTCCCCAAGCCGACGTTCGGCCAGTCCGGGGCTCTTGCAGTCCAGGACCCTTGCAGTCCAGGACCCCTGGCTCCTTACTGCCAGCTTCCACTGCCTGCCACTGCCACAGCACTAGCCAGCCATGAGCCCAGCTTTGGCTGAGCATTGCTCCACCTGTGGAGTGCACTGAGCGTCTGCCCCCTGGTGGTCAATGCATCATCATAGTGATTGGTCATAATGGTCACTTAGGCCTTTATATGCCTTAAGAATGCTTATTTTTTGTTTTCTGGGGCCTAAGTGACATGAGAGATTTTAAAATATATATATATATAATTGATTTTTTACAAAGAGGAAGGGAGAGGGATAGAGTTAGAAACATCAATAAGAGAGAAACATCGATCAGCTGCTTCCTGCACACCCCCACTGGGGATGTGCCCGCAACCAAGGTACATGCCCTTGACCGGAATCGAACCCAGGACCCTTGAGTCTGCTGGCTGACGTTCTATCCACTGAGCCAAACCAGTTAGGGCGACATGAAAGATTTTATCTGAAGTTTGTAGTATTCTTTGGATCAAGCCATTGGAACACACACACACACACACACACACACACACACACACAGAGTTGAGAAACACGAAAATAGAAACTTCTACTTGTCCCCCCCGCTTTACAGTGGTTTACTTTAGGAATGAAGCCAGGGGTTGGAGGAAAGGGACTTTAATTTATTTTATTTATTTATATGAACTTGTATTTTTAAATATTTTCTAGATCTTTTGAAAATTGCTTTAAACATTATGAAACACTCTTTTGACCTAAAAAAAATAGTAACATTTTTGTGATGTTGCACTATAGTTTTGCAAGGTACTGCCATTGGAAGAAACAGAACTCTCTTATTTCTTATAACTGGCATGAAAATATTACACTTATATCAAAATAAAAAGTTGTTAAAAAACAAAGCTAGTTTAAAAAACACACGTCAGTTTAAGAGACTGAAAAGTAACCACGAGCTAGTTAGCATTCCCTAAGGAACACAGATATGAGGCACATGTGGAAATGTTTTTAGAACCTATTTAGAAAGTCTCCCTATAAATAGATTCAGCCCTTTGGGAAAGCAAGTTGGCAATAAATAGCAAGAGTCTTAGATTCTGTAATTCCATTTGTAGGAATTTATTCTGAGGAAATAATCTTAATTACAAAAAAAAAAAAAAAAAGCACAAAAATGTTCATCACAGTATTATTCACAACATGAGAACCTGTAAACAACATGAAGGAAAATCCAACACAAGAACAGAGTAACATGTATGCTGTAGTCAGAAAGATGTATGTTAACAAGTTTTTTTAATGGGAAAATGCTTTGTTATAATGTTCAGAAAAAAGGTAAGATAACCACCGGGCATATGCAATACAATCATAGCTAAATAAGTGTGTAGAAATCCCTAGGCTGGTTGCTTGGCTGGCACGTCATCCTAATACACCCAAGGTTGTGAGTTCAATCCCTAGTCAGGGCACATACAAGAATCAACCAATGTATGCACAAATAAATGGAACAACAAAATTGATCTAATAAAAATTTTTTAAAATGTGTAGAAAAACTTAGAAATGCAGGAATGTTTCCAGTGGTTGTCTTTAAATGCTGCAAGGACAATGATATTTTTTTCTTTCTACTTTTCACAAAAATATTCAATGCCTATATATTACCTTAATATTGAAAAATGAAACTGCATTTTGCCGAGACCGGTTTGGCTCAATGGATAGAGAGTCAGCTTAGGGACTGAAGGGTCCCAGGTTCGATTCCGGTCAAGGGCATGTACCTTGGTTGCGGGCATATCCCCCGTAGGGGGTGTGCAAGAGGCAGCTGAAGGATGACTCTCTCTCATCGATGTTTTTAACTCTCTGTCTCTCTCCCTTCCTCTCTGTACAAAATCAATAAAAAATATATTTTAAAAAAAAAGGGGAAAAAAGAAAAAAAAAAGAAAGAAAAATGAAACTGCATTTTAAAAGGAAATAACGCTACTCTCATATTTCAAGATGCTGTGGAATGTTCTGGGTGGTCTGCCCTGGGGTCAACCATTGCCAGGCAGGTCAGAGGGAATTTAAGTTCCAAAGTACAGCATCATCTTCCACATGTAGGGATCCTTCAGCCTCAAAGTCCTAGTTCAGCCTCCTACAGACACCATGGGCGTCTCAGATTCTAATCTTCCATGGCCGGCAGGTGAGCTAGGTACCAAGTGGTTTCCTTTATCAGCCTAACCCTCAGAACTTATTCAGGATGGGGCAAAAGTAGGTTTACAGTTGTGAGTAGATTGTAGCTGTGATACATGAAACATAGAGATTCTTGTATTATTAAGTGTATTATTTGCCACATGAACAACTATAAACCTACTTTTGCCCCATCCTGTATTTACCACAATTCCAAACTGGAAACTAGGTGTAGTGTTCTGCAGGCCCTTCACTGCATAGGGACCCTTATATATTCTCTGGGTAAGCAATCCAGAGTTTAAGACTTAAAAATCTAAAACTGATGGTGGTCCTTCAGTCAAAAGCCATATGATGAAGCAAGGGCCTCTGCACTGATTCAGGTGATGTGAAAGGGACAGACACACTCACATGCAAGCACATGAATTGGGAGATGGGCTACAGGGTGGCTCAGAGACAGCCCCCAAGGTGGACCAAAAGGACCAAGTCCAGAAAGGAAGGATAATGGAGGGATCAGAAAACTCCTGGAGCCCACAAGGACTTAGAAAGGTCCACAGGAGGGCTGGGGGGAAATTGTGGCAGAATCTATTGTTGTTTTTAGTAATTAAAAAAATTACTTATTGAAAGTAACAAAGACTTAAAGCAATAAGCCAGAACAATTAAAAAAAAAGTTTTTATTACCACTATGTTTAGGAGATAGTGAGTTTCCCATAGAAAAATCCCCACAGATACAGGAGGTGATCAAACACAAGCTGGTGGGAGGCTGTGGAGAGGACTCAAGCACTAGACATATAATTTTACTAAATGACCTTTAAGGTCCTCCTTCCACTTTCATGATTATGAGTCTCTTAAGAGAGCAAGAGGAAGGGAGAGGGAGAAAAAAGGGAGAGAGGCAGGGATATATGGAGAGAAGTGAAGAGGGAGAGAAAAGATCACTTTCCCACAGGGACACATTTCCTGACATTTTTCTTTTTAGGGCAAAGGACTAATCTCTTGATCCCTCATTTCTCAAATTCTTGAGCCTCATCCAAGAATGATGGGTACAACAGAGACTAAAGTTAAAGCAGTGGTTAGCTGCTTCCTGCACTGGGGATCAAGCCTGCAACCTGGGCATGTGCCCTTGGCTGGGCATGTACCTTGGTTGCGGGCACATCCCTAGTAGGGGGTGTGCAAGAGGCAGCTGACCGATGATTCTCTCTCATCAATGTTTCTAACTCTCTATCCCTCTCTCTTCCTCTCTGTAAAAAATCAATAAAACATATTTAAAAAAAATTTGTTATGGTCACATAATTCATTTGATAATTAGTTGCCCAAAGTGCATAGTAGACTCACAATACTATTCAGCTTCATTCTTCAATGTGGCCAAGGACCACCAGTCATTTGAGGAAAGTCCCTAATGCAAAACACAGAGTTTAACAAGAAAAAGGAGCTATTAGGGAACAAAGACTATTCTTTGGAGCCGAGACACCTCAAAAACCAAATACAAAAAACTATAGCTTTAGAAAAGGAAGATAATGCATGTAGGAAAAAAGAAGTACTTAAAAAAACCAAAACCCTAGCGGTTTTGCCCAGTGGATAGACCATCAGCCTGCAGACTGAAGGGTTGTGTGCTTAATCCCCAGTAGGCAGCCAATCAATGATTATCTCTCATCACTGATGTTTCTTTCTCTCTCTCTCCCTTCTCTGAAATCAATAAAAATATATTTTAAAAGAACCCACTAAACATAGCGCCCTGACTGGTTGTCTCAATGATTAGTGCAATGAAAGATCACAGGTTTAATTCCCATTCAAGCACACGTTACTTGGGTTGCAGGTTCGATCCCCATCCCCAGTCCGGGCGCATACAAGAGGCAACCAATCAATGTCTCTCTCACATTGATGTTTCTTTCATTCTCTCTAAAAATCACTGGGGAAAAATATCCTTGGAACTGTGGCTCAGTTGGTTGGAGCATCATTCCATACACCAAAGGTGAAGGGTTTGATCCTCTGGTCAGGGTTCAAGCGGGAAACAGTCGATTGATATTTTGTTATTTTCTCTTTCCTCTCCACTTCTTTCCCCTTTTCCCTCCCTCCCTCCCTCTCTCCTTTTTCCCCCTCTCTCTTTCTCTCTCTCGTCAATTAAAAAAATGTTTTTAAATTATAAAAAAGCCCTGGCCTGAGTGGCTCAGTTGGTTGGGTGTCACTCTATGCACTAAAAGGTTGCTGGCTCAATTCCCAGTCAGGGCACATGCCCAGGTTGGGGCTCGGTCCCCCGTAGGGGGCACACAAGAGGCAGCCAATCAATGATTCTCTCTCATTGTTTCTGTCTCTCCCTTTCCCTTCATAAAATCAATACGTATTTTAAAGTAAATAAAAAAGGTATTGTACAGTTGCTGACATGGTCAAAATACGTTATACAGTTAACATAGATTTGGCTTTGCCTTTTCTTTCTCTGCAAACTATTTTTAAAATTCTAATTCCAAACAGGGATTCCTGTATTTGTAGCCGTCCTGGAGGAGAGGGGTCATCCAAGCTTTTGGCACAGCTCTCCAGAGAATGAAGAAACGTGAAAAGACAGGGGTGGGAGTTAAAAAAGAACTCCCTAATGAGAAGGCTCTCAAAGTTCAGATCTGAAGGAGGCAGATGCAGTAGATCCTCTGGCAAGTTCTCCCAGGTCCAAGAATTCAAATTCTGCCCACAGCAAAAGGCAGCCTGCAAACACTTCCCTGAGCCTGCGTGCTTCAGGCTGGCATTTGTTAGTCAGCGGGTGGCTGAAGCTCCAGACGAAAGCCCCAAAGGCTCTGTGATCCACTTAGTAACTTTTTCTTTTCTTGCTGTCAGGACGAGGGTGACAAAAAAACTCAGGCTCTCTTATATAGTCAGAATGGCCAGAGCCCTGGATGTTAAATTTTACCACTCCTGAAGATCTTTCGCCAAACCATCAGAAATTGTGTCCAAAATCCTACCACTTCCTGCCAAATGTAGCTGAATGAATAACCAAAACATCTGCCTTCAACAGGAACCAACTCGGCATGCCACGCAACCTGTGAGTCAGCCCAGGAAGTGTCACCCTGGAGTTAAGACAACTCCCCTGGGGGCCCCAGAGGAGGGAAGGGCTTCTGGGCCGGGCAGTATGGGGCACCAAGCACCCAGGCCTAGGTCTCACCCAAAGACCTGCTGGAGAGCCAGCCAAGGCCACGCAAAGCAAAGTCTGCCAGACACCCAGGCTCTGTGCCAACCCACCCAAGGCAAAAAGAGAGAAATGGATGGAAGATTTTATGAAAAAAGAGCTTTCTCCCTTATTTTTAGCCCCAAGCAAGAAGGAGGGGCCCAAATGGCATTTAGAGGGAGGAGAAGAGGCAGAGTGATTAAGAGCGATGGCTCTAATGCTGACCTTATCACCAGCAGGCTGTGTGACCCTGGGCACGGTGAACTCTCAGAGCCTCCAGCTTCTTATCTGAGGGTGGGGATCAGAGTGGTGCCTACTCATGGGTGTTGTGAGGCTCACAGGAGACGGTGTACATAAACGCCCTCAGAACAGTGCCTTACTCAGTGAGTACGTAATGTTATTTACGATGATCTCCTCAGAGTGAGCCTTGCAGGCAGCATCTCCAGACGTTAGATCTTCAGGCTCCCACGGAGCAGTTAATTGTGTGCTCTGTTGTGTCCTCTGTGGGTCGTGTGTGTGGTATTCACCACCAGCCTGCCTCCTCCCAGGGTCACCTCCATCTGGAGCCCAGCACGATTCCCCCACCTGGCTCTGAAGAACCACTGCAAAAACTGTATTACTCATTTGGCATTCAGCATGTCCTGCCATATTTGTCTATCTGCATATGCCAAGACCTCAACTAGAGTGCAAATTCAAGAGCACAGGCTGCTTTCCTTATAGTTCCCAGAATGCCTGGCATTAGGCCTTGCCCACAGCAGACACGGACACATTCCTAGAACCACAGATGAGTGCCCTCAGTGAACTGTTCCAGCACGACAGTCCCCTTCGCGTGTAGTCGAGAGCCCAGTATCCTATGGGCATTCACTCACCTCATCCAGCTGTCTCTTCGTCTCTTCTTCCATCCTTCGAATGTCGTCCATGGTCAGGTCAACCCACTTATCGAGCCAACAGAACAGCTGCCGGTGGAAGTTTGTAAACAGACGCTTCTCTTGCTATAAAAAGGAGGGAACCTAGTTAGAACCCAAAAGGTGAAGGCCACTGTTGTAGCTCCCCAAATCTCCGAGCCAATATCCACACTTTATTTTTTAGTTTTTTTTTTTAACCATTCTTTTTTTTTTTTTTTTTTTTTAATATATTTTATTGATTTTGTACAGAGAGGAAGGGAGAGAGAGTTAGAAACATCGATGAGAGAGAGAGTCATCGATCAGCTGCCTCTTGCACACCCCCCACTGGGGATATGCCCGCAACCAAGATACATGCCCTTGACCAGAATCGAACCCGGGACCCTTCAGTACCCAAGCCGGCGCTCTATCCATTGAGCCAAACCGTTCTCAGCTAACCATTCTTTTAAAAAATGTTTTTATTGATTTTTAGAGAGAGGGGAAGGGAGCAGGAGAGAAAAAACATCTATCAGCTGCCTCCTACATACCCCCTACTGGGGATTGAGCCCACAATCCAGGCATATGTCCTAAGCAGAAATAGAACCAGTGACCTCTTAGTTCAAGAGTAGACACCTTATCACTGGGCCACCCGGCTGGGCCAATACCCACACTTTAATGGGGAGATGGGGGAGAAGTGATGCCTGGCTGGCTTCAGGGTCAGTGGCTTTTGCTTTCACAAGTCTAATAGGTATGGCTTTGAGTGGGAGGGGGCCCCCAGGAAAAAATGGGTGTCTAACTCACAGCTGGGCCCTGTGCCCAAAATGCTACCTAGACAGCAACCCATGAGCTCACAGCTAAGCCAAGGCCCCAAAACAACTGTGCCAAGTTTCCTTCTTGTCTCTGAAGACTAAAGCCAGGTTAAAACTGGCCAACAGCAGCTGTAAAATACAGCGCAAGAGTGAGGCTCTAACACATCAGAAAAGAGGGCTATAGTCTACGGCCATACTGACCTCGTCTGATCTCGGAAGCTAAACAGGGTCGGGCCTGGTTAGTACTTGGATGGGAGAAAAAAGGGCTATAAAAACTCCTTACATTTGCCTCGTTCAGTAATTCAGGGCACTGGATAATTTGGCTCACAGTGCCTCTTGCCTTTCGGCTTCAAGAAAAGCAGAGACTGAGTTTTGTTTGTATTTCAATCATAGCAAGCCTCTTCCTGTTTCCTTTTCTTTCTTTCTTTTTTTTGCCTCAGTTTCCTTCCCTGTCAAATGTGGTGCCCTTGGATGGACAGCATTAAACTGTGAGATAGTTAAGTATCAGGATACGTGGGGGTCTGAGGAATCAAACTGAAATATTTGAATGTCATCTACCCTAGGATACAAGTCACATGGGTTGTATGATCTTCTCTTGGGCAAAACACCCCCCACCAACCCATAAAACTGGGAAGGCCTCACCTGGTCACTTACCTTATGTATAAAGTTTTCCACTTTGTTCTGCAGGCCCCACCACTTGAACTTGACAGTAACCAGTTTGTATGCACACATGTACGGGCAGTCTTTCTGATTTAAAATTTCTTGCTGTATTAGAAACACATCCACAGGCAGGCAGGTAACTAACAGGACTGACCTCTGGCTCTCCCTTAGCCCAGCCCCAGCCATTGGGAGAGGCCCACCCACACTGGGTCCATCCCCCTGGTGGTGAGGATGTGAACTGCACCTTCCAATTGGGGCCCAAGGGTCCTCGGCCTGTTTTCTGAGATTTAAATTTGGCTGGGTCTTCCTCTGCCTTGTAATCCTGAGAAATGGTAGAATTGGAGTTGGGGGAGGGAGGAAAGTAGAGATGGAGGAAAGGAGGAAGAAAGAGACAGGGAGAGAGAGAGATAGGAAGATAAAGGAAGGGAGAGAGGGATCAGATTTTCCATCAAAGTACACTTCATGCCAATCTTAATGCTAATGGTGCACGGAAAATACGGGAAAATATGATAAACAGGATATAGAACTATTACATTTGCCTCAGAGGAGTGTTCTGGTGGCCTTCTCTGCCAGGGTTTATGTTCAGGTCTACCACATCAAAGTGTCACCAGACTGTTTGAGCAGGCATGCATTCCACTGTCTAAAATGGATTTTCAACCAGGGGTGAGCATCCAAATTACCAGGAACAGCTTTTTAAAAATAAATATTTCTGAGCTACTCCACCTAAAACCCAATGAATAAGAATATTTGAAGGTAAGGTTATTTTTTAAAATTATTATTATTATTTTTTTATCTCTGGAAGTGACTCTAAAAAACACAACCAGAGCTAAGAACAACTGGCTATCATTCCTGAGATATAAGCTGAACTCTGGCTTGTTTCTTTTCTTTCTTCTTTTTTTTTTTTTTTACACTGTCTTGTTTTAATAAAATCATTATTAGAAATGTTCAATGTATCAAACATAAAATGTTCAATTATAGTATCCTCTTGTGTATTTTTGTCAGTTTCACTTCACTGATGTAGAATGCAGTCAATGCTGTGCGTTAACCATAATAAAAGCTTAATCTCTGGCTGTTCCTCTGCATTGACTGTGGGCTCATGTAAAGCAAACTCAGAGTAACTATCTAACAAAAATAATGACATTAACAAATCACAAACATACACACAGTCATAAAATATTTCCCAAAGCTAAGCAGATTATTTATGTATGCTTTAAAAATATATCTCTTCCCTACCTCTGCTTCCCTCCATTTACATGAAACAATCAGAGTTGACAAAATACTTGAAGAGTCATACTCTTTGCTAGTATTTCTGTTTGAGAAATATTTGTGTATGCATGTTCACTTTTAGAAAATCCATCAAGCTGCACACTTATGATATATTTACTTTGCTATATATATCCCTGGGATACAGAGAACAAACGATATTCAAATTCCTGTTTCCTGATTCCATCAGGCCTGTCAGCAGGAAGAGTACTGAATGAGGGAGAACTACCTTTCCTTTCCTGAACAAATACCTCTGTGAGCACAGCAGTGAGCAAGGTAGGCCAAGCCCCTCGCTCTCCACCTGCATGGTCACGCGGTAGACCATCCTTTGCTAAGCACCTGCTGCCATGTTTGTTACTCTGAGAAGCAACTATCAACCAATTGAGGGCAGGGGACTTGTCTTTTCACATATCTGGAACATTCCTTGCATGGAACACACAAAACAGAATAATCCAAACACAACAGGAAGGCACTAAATGTTTCTTAGTTACTGGGTTGGAAAATAAATTTGAGAACTAGTTTCAGGCTAAGTGTCATTTCAGCAGGCAGATCAACCGCAGGACTGCCAATAGTACCCACACTGTCCAGTGATCATTCCCACAGGCCACACAGGACGCACACATCTGGGCCACTATTTCCCTGGTGGTGTTCCCAGGTCTAGACAAGGGAATTCCTAATGCTAATTTTAAAAATAAAACAAGTAATACCCAAGAGAGAACTTCCCATTTAGCCACCTTGGGTCTGGTTCCCCGATTTCTCTGACACCTCAAAGGCTACCCACATCTCTGAAGAGTTCTTACCTTGCTAAGTACTTGGCTTCGATCTGCAATGTCTATATATACGGTTTCCACATGTTTCCATGTCTCAGCCTCCAGTTTATGCACCTGCAGGAACAAGGAGCACTTCTGTGTAGTTTTTGTCAGCTATAAAGCACTCTTCCCCCAGAAGAGACATTACAAACAGCTATTCCCAAAGCTAGAGATGTGAGATTTCTATGGGTAAAGAATTACAAAGAAAATTATTCAAAGGAATGGGAAGATGAATTTTAAGTGCACACACATTTGAGGACTAATGATCTGATTTTTCAGCCTAAGGACCACCTCAGATGGCCAAAACACTCTCGGGCTCCCTATGGTACCTATATTATCTCCACATGTTCCCTCCTTGTAAAGACGATAAAGCACTCGCGGAAATATTGCCTGCTTAGCCATATACTGTTTATTTGGATGCTTTTAATAAATTAATTCAAACAGGTTGTACATATACATGATATGAAATTATGATACAAATTCAAAATGTACAAAAGGATATGATACAGAGTAATTCTTTGTCTTATCTCCCAGTCCTTTCCAGAGTTAACACCACTGCTACCAGATTCTATGTACTTACAAACACCCAGGTGTGAAGATCTTTTTTAATACAAATGGTAGCACATAATATACACCGTTTTGCATCCTGCTTTCTTAAACAATGAACAATATACCTTGAAGATTTTTCCCTATTGGTTCTTTTCTCTCTCTATTGGTTCTTCATAATGTTTGCAAAATATACCACTATAAGGCTGAACCAAAATTTATTTAAGTGTTCTACTGGTGGGCTCTTTTATTGTTTTTAATCTCTGACTACTCAAAGAATGCTACAATGAATCTTCCTGAATATAAGTTATTTCACGCATGTGTTAACATAACTGTATGATACATTCCTAGATGTAGAATTGCTGGGGTAAAGGATGGATGCATTTTAAATTTGAGGAGTTACTGGGAAATTGTACTCTAAGAGGCTATAATCCTGATGTTTTAAATATATAGCTCCCCTGTACCAGAAGTTGCATGTTAGATCAATCCCAATACAATGAAAAGGCCCTATAAGGAGCCTTAGAGATCATATTTTGCAAATCAGAGACAGAGCAAGCCCATGCCGGTAGGACAGGTGTAGGCAGAGGCCGTCACCCAGCAGGCCAGGAAAAGGAAAGCACAGAGCAGACCCCAGGGCACGGATGGACAAGCCACAGGGCAGAGTCTCAGTACTCTGCCGAAGCTTGGGAGCCGCTGGAGCTCTGGGGAAGCGCTACTTACATTCTCCAGGTGGCCGAGATCGGGTTTGTGCCAGGTTTCAATTTTAATCAGAAAGTCTTCTTTCATGTACTCATTCTGGAAGGGGGGAAAGATACCTCATGGTCACCAGGCTCAAAGTTGAAAATTAAAGATTATTGGATCAAAGATTCCAACCTCTGCCTTATAATATCAGCTAATTTTACTTGGAGCCCACAGCATGCGAGGCATACATTATCTCACTTAATCCTCACCACAGCCAACAAGGTCTGTGATAATTTATAGATTACTACCTTATGCTCAAGGTGCTAATAATTGATAGTGTGGGAAGAACAGAGGAAGACTTCCTAACCCACAAAAATGTTCATCACTACCCCGTTCCCCACTAGCCAACCTTTTGCTGAGGTCCATAGTTCTCTTCTCAGCAAATGAACTCTTCATGCTAATTACTATCTTCTTCCCTTAGTGCTTTTTCAAAATTAGAACTACACAAAGGAGGAACACAGTAGGCCATTAATTCCTTGGCAGGGATTGGGTTCCCAAGAACTGCCTATGGTGACCAACAGGGATAAGGCACTGGATGAGGAGACTGGCAGGTGGGGAGATGGGGCAATGACACAGGGGATGGGCGTGGAAGAGAAACCCTGCTGACTTCACAGTTATGCTAGGGGCCAGGGCTCACTAGGGCCAATAGATGGCATGGGAAGCCCCACTCAGGTCAGCTGAACCAAAGTCTGTGCAGACCTGAAAGGCATGACCTGGAGCGAGCAGGGAAGAGCCTTGCTTCCTTCTGAACATGTGAGAGCAGAGCTAGGATGCCATGGTCCTGACTGCTGCACCTTACAAAGCCACATGCCAAGGCAGCTTAAAGAAAGAGGCTTCTTTGCCAGTTAACAGGTTCTTTCTTAGGACTGAAAGGATTAAGCCTCAACAACTCCAAAAGTCACCCAAGAGAAAGAGGAATACCTAGTAACCTCCAGCGCAGTTACATTTTCATTTCTTCTTTCTTAGAAATCATCTACAATTCCACCCTCCCTCCCTCTCCCCCCCTTGGTAAATACTTACTGTAATAACTGTTCCAAGGCAAGGACATGGAAAGAAGAGAGAAAAAGTTTAATGAGGATGAATGAATATCTGACCCTCGGCCCCAGAGATCACAATAGCAGAGTTCTCCACTCCCTGAGGCTTATCCACAATCACTCTCCAATTCCCAGTGAGTGCATTTGGTACCTCAAACGCATCAACCTTCAAGTTTCAATCATATGAAAGTCCCCAAAGACCAAATCTGGGACTTAATTAAAGGAATGACACTATTGGCTCCTTGAGATTCTCTCTAGTTGAACAAGGAGGGGGACTGCTCTCAGGAGCTGAAGCAATGAGGCCCACTGCTCTGTCTCAGAGCATCCCCTGAGGTCCCCCTCCCCGCAGGGGCACAGGCAGGGTGCTTTAGGGCAGGCACAGCTATCTGCCTCCTGCATCCCTGCTCTCACTGTAACCAAACCTCTCACCGCTATACTCCTGCCCATTGTAATGGGACCCCCTCGGAAAGCACGGTTCAATTATTTATTAGAGAAAATGACTGCAGCTCTAATGTCACTGGGGAACAGACCAGCTCTCCTCCTGACAACAGCCTGGATCGTTCTGTACCCTCTGAATTTAGAGTTATCTCAATTTCTGGTGGATGCCACGCTGCCGTGTTTGGACATTTATAGGACTAACAGTCAAACCTCACAACTCCAGAACTGCAACCAAGGTTACCTGTGAGACTGAGACGAGGAAAAGTTGAAATATAAGGGATAAGATTTATCTTGTATAGAAATACCCCAGGAGATTATAAGTAATTTCCCTAAATCCAATGAAAGAAACCTGGAAGAAAGTACCAGATTAAGATAACTAAAAGGCCTATTGAAATAACTGCTGTTATGAACTTGGAGAAAATTGTGTTAACAAGAAGGACATGGTGAGTATCATCCATCGAAGGAAGTCCAAAGAGACCAGTTTGGCAAAAACTCTCCAGGGCTGTCCTAGGGGCAGGAGCCCCAGGCTGCAATGGCACATTCAGCAGCCCCATCCCGAGAGTGGACACAGCAGTGTTAGGCTGGCCTGGTTTGATCACACAGCCTCAGAGGTTTTCCAGCTAGCCACCTGATTCTGACTCCATGTTCTCCAAGCAACTTCCTCCTTCTAGTTCGGCCTCTGTAAGGACAGAACATGCTAATGAACAGACACAGGAGTCCAATCACTTAAGCAAGTGAACACGTTCACTACATCCTGGCATTCTGGATGTACATTCTTTGGTGTGTACACTAAATATATTGGCATATGAGGTTTGTACACCTTAGCCTTTTTGAGACCCTGAGAAATAGATCCACTCGGTTCTGACAAGTTACATTTCTGAATCCATGATGATAATGACCCTCATCGGTCCTCAAAGCTAACAGGGGTGACCAATCTTCCCTAGTCCTCCCTGCTCCTCCAAACACCCCTGCAGTCCCGCGTTTCCTTTTCTTCAAACTGCAATGCTGAACACACTAAAAAAGTCCCAAGAAACGCTTTGTAGTCAGAAAATCAGGCTCTCTAAGTAAGATTAATAAGGTGCTTTCAAATCATGGCTTAGTGAGATTATTCAGTCAGGGATTAAGGCTAGAGGAAGAGATAGAAAGAAAAACATTTCTTTTCCTCTTCCTACTTCCATTCACAGACCAAACCCGATCTTATCCCCTCCTCATATCCCAGCCCACCAACATCAGGGGAGAGACAGAGAAAAGTAAGATAAGAGCATAAAAACAGCTGATAATGAATGACCAGTGTGTTCCAACTCCATTTTCATTCCACTCAGGAATTTATCCCACGCTTCTTTATCTATCTCACCTCACACTTTAATCTACTTGGACCAAACTTAGATGTTTGAACTAATCATCTCTCTCCCATCACCCCCCCAGAAGAAACTGGAGATTACCCTTCTTTGTTTATTTTAAAAGAGCAAGCGTCTAACTGAACAGATCTAAGATTCAACACATTCATTTCGTATGACGGTGACTGTGAGTGTGAGGTCAGCATCCACTGGAGAAACCAACCTTCCCCCTACCCTTGCCTCCTCTTCACGAAGTATTTAGAAATTACTTTTATCTCTCTTTTCTTTTGACCAAAGGTCAGGACAATATGTGAACGAACATTTGGCAGCTAAAAAAAAAGCCCATGTCAGCTGCAGCACACTCCCTAGAATTACGCAGAGGACAGTGGCATCTCTCAGTCAGCATAAGCTGTGTACCAGAACCCTGCCCCAGGCATGGAGGAGTCTATGCTATCTGTTTGCCTCCTTTATGCCAAGTTGGCAAAGGTTCTTATGACGTATGCTTAATGCAGCTCTCTTAGACATTAAGAACAGTCACCTTTGGCCCTCGGCCAGACATACACAGCTACAGTGCACATGGTCTTTTAAGAAAATGTGTGGCCCAGCTGGTTGAGCACTGACCTATGAACCAGGAGGTCACAGTTCGATTTCTGGTCAGGGCACATGCCTGGGTTGTAGGCTCAATCCCCAGTGGGGGGTGTGCAGGAGGTAGCCAATCAATGATTCTCTCCCATCATTGATGTTTCTCCCTTTTCCTTCCTCTCTGAAATTAATAAAAAAATATATATTTTTAAAAGAAAGTGTGTGCATGCCTCTTTTCAAAGAATTTAACAGCTTCCTGTCCAATGCTTCTGTAGTAATGATATTTGCATTTTCAGCTACAGCAATAAAACTCTGTGTCACACACCCCACATTGGTCCTATCAATGATTATTAATCTCCTGATACAAGGTTCTTGAGAATTGGAAAGAGTAATGACCGTGTTCTCTAGACTTTACTCATTCCCAAGTTCACAGGATAAGGGCCACATGGATGGAACATCCCCATTAGATACAATCTGAGAGTACCAAGTCCCAACAAATAAAGCAAGTGAAGCAGTCCATGTAAGAGAGGCTGGCAAGAGGACGCCTTAGCCAGACTGCCGGCGAAAACAAATGCAGGTTGGCTGGGGGGAAGGCCACACACTCACAGACAAGTTCTAGGGGACCTCTCAGAAGCACCCCAAAATATGGATCAGTACTAGCTTGGTTTCTCCAAGAGAACTATTCTGGAATCTTGGAAAGCTAGGAGTATGAACTACTCAAAGAGAATCCCAGAAAGTCTAACATACAAAGTTCTCTGTGGAGGCTCAAGTCTTCCTTTTCCAGAAACTCCAGATGGAGATTGACCCAGGTTAAGAAAATAATTCCACTCCTACCTTTAGCTACAGAACATGCTAGTTGAATGTAAGTCAGGGTTCTTCACAGTGACTTTCCTCTTCCTTGCCCTCTGCCCTCCCACCCAAATCTGGCATGCACATTCCATGTGCTATTTAACAATTTTAAAATATAACTGATTATAAATATTTTGTCATAAAAAATTGGGCATTTTTCCACTTTCCCCCAATAACACCAATATTTCCTTTGCTATTTTTTGTTGTTGTTGTTGTTGTTAATCTTCGCCCAAAGATATTTTTCCATTGGTTTTCAGAGAGAGTGGAAGGGAGGAGGAGAGACACACAGAGAGAAACATTGATGTGAGTGACACATCAATTGATTGCCTCCCACATGTGCCTGGACCAGGGTCAGGCAACAAAGGTATGTGCCCTTGACCAGGAATTGAACCAGAGTCCCTTCAGTCCTCAGGCTGATGGTCTATTCACTGAACCAAACTGGCTAAAGCTCCTTTGCTATATTTTTTTGGTGTCTAGGCCTGGCCCTTCCCCAAGGCAAGAAAGTCAACCTCAAGTTCTCTTCAATGACTATTGCCTCTCTCAAGATTCCCTGACCTCAACACTGTTTTTCAAGCCAAACACAAATATATCACATTAAAACTGGAACTCTCAGTATCTCACAGTAAGGGAGTGGTTTAAAAAGATCATAGTATTGATGAACAACATAGACTGATGAACAAGAACAGACCCAGAGATAGGGAGGGCGGGGATAAAAGGGAGAGATCAACCAAAGGACTTATGTGCACACATATGAGCCTAACCAGTGGTCAAGGACAATAGGGGGGTGGGGACATGATTGGGGAGGGGTGGGGGATTGGAATGGGGGGTTGAGGACAAATATGTGATACCTTAATCAATAAAGAAATTTAAAAAAAATCATAGTATATTCATACAATGGAATACTATGCAGCCATTACAAATTTTTTAAAATAGGAAACTACATAGTGACAAGAAAAAGATTATTTACTGAGTAAAATGAGCAATTTAATAGTTAATATGATCTGATCCAAAATTTGTCTAGGAAAGATGTCTGGACATTATATGTAAGATTTTAAAAAAAGGACCAGGAATAAAGATACTAAAATCTTAACAGTGACTATCTAGGAATGGGCCTGACTGGGTGCTCAGTTGGTTAGAGCATCATCCTGATATAACAAGGTTTCTGGCTTGATCCCTGATAAGGCACATATAAGAATCAACCAACGCCCTCATTGGTTTGGCAGAATGGTTAGAGCATCCGCCCATGAACCCAAGTGTCACGGGTTGAATTCCCAGTCAAGGGCACATACCTAGATTGCAAGTTCAATCCCCGGCCCAGGTTGGAACACAAGCAGGAGGCAACCAATTGATGTGTCTCTCCTACATTGGTGTTTTTCTCTTTCTTTCTCTCCTCTCTCTCTTCCATTCTCTCTAAAAATCAATGGAAAAAATATTCTCACTCCTCGGGTGAGGATTAAAAAAGAATAAAAATAAAAAAAGAACCAAACAATGAATACATAAATAAGTGAAACAACAAATTAATGTTTCTCTCTCTCTCTCTCTCTCTCTCTCTCTTAAACCAGTTTTAAAAAAGAGAGAGAAGGAGAGCGAGGGAGAGAGAGAGAGAGAGAGAGAGAGAGAGAGAGAGAATATCGTGGGTGATTTATTTCTTCTGTTTCTATGTATTTTCTAAAATTTAAACAGAGAATAGTACTTTCGTAATCAGTAAAAACAATCAAAATTATCATACCATCCCCAAATAAGAAGGGCTGGTTCTGTGCCAGCTCAGGCCATGGATATGTGGTGGTTTTCACTCAGGTGGCTGCCAAATTATAGTAGACAACAATGACACCACCAGTCTCAGGTCTGATGGAAATCCCTAAACTCATTTTTCCACTGGCTTAATCCAGAAAATGAACATGGGACACAAAACCCCAACCCACCCCACCGCTGGGTCCACTTGACCCAGGTCTGCACTCACCGGTTCTGCAATAAGGGTAGGCATTCCATGCTTTTTCATGTATATTCAGGGCTCCCTCTGGGGCCAGCATTCGAACAAACCCAGGCACTTTGCTACAGTGAGAAAAAGGGGTTATGAAAAGAAATGGAGGAGAGAATGAGAAGACACTCTTCAGGCCACAGTCCTAGCCTCTTCAATGAGAAGTTGACAAGTAAGTTTCCATGAGATAAGTAGGTTACACTTATGGGTGAGAAGCCACCTGTCAGAGTCTGAATCCCCAACTCTGCTAGCTATTAACACCCACTCACATCTTGCCCCACCACCTCGCCAGGAACCAGACAGGAGGGAATACCTTGGGCTACCTGCTACAGCTTATCAGCCATTACATTATCAGTGTGCTTTTTTTCCAGCGCTCACTGGGCCCAGGGCATCATATTCCACAGGGCAGGGATGACACACCTCCAAGAGCATACCAGACCAGGTTTATGGGCCAGAGAGACTGACTGACTAACAGTATGGGAGTCCAGATGATCTGATGATCTTATTATCAGTTCTGGGATGCCAGGACAAAATATTTTCTTCTATTTAATTTTTCTTATCCCAGATTATAGAAAAGTGTGTTCAGTAAGAGCCCCTCCCCCCCTTTTAAGGTATATATATTTCTCTTCCTTAATCTTTTACTGGTATTCTAAGCAGGCTTTAGCAGGTTCCAACAATATCATCAGCTGTAGTGCCTGAGGCCTAAGAAAAGAGAGTGAACTCAGAGAACCAGAGCAACCCTGAGATTCATCCACCCACTGCCATGCTCATTCAGGCCAGTATTTCTACATGCCAGGCATCAGGATGCATACAGACACCATACAAACTTGGCTCCTGCCCTCAAGGAGTCCACATTCCAGTGGGGAGTATAACCAGACGGGGGAACAACACCGTGTGCCACAGTGGGTAAGCACAGGGCTCTGGGGGACAGAGCACGGGAGAGCATGGTGCAGACAGCATGGCGCATGGGAAGGCTCCTCAGGAGAAGAAGGATTAAATGAACACAGAGCAGAGAGGGAGTAGGACTGAGCAAGACACAGGATGGGAGCAAGGTAAGAAAAGGGTGGAGAAGAGCGAGTTCAGAGTACCTGGTGAAAGGGATGAGTAGGGGACAAGAGAACCTGCAGAGGCTGGATCATAAAAGATCTTGTAGATTACATCAGAGTATGGACGTTATCCTGAGGGCAAAGGGAAGCCTTCTCTAGCTTTTAAAGCTGGGGAGCAACAGATCTGTCTTCTAGAAAGAACACTCAAAGCTGTGTGAAGTGGAAACCAAGGGGACCTAAAGTAACTGAGGCAAAAGATGATGGAAAGAAATAGCTAGGTTGGCGGTGCTGAGGAGACAGAGTCAATGAGGAGTTTATATAAGGGATGAAGAAGAGGGTGGTGGTGAACCTGTGGGGACCTCATGAGGAGGGCCTCATGAGGAGAGGTGGTTGTGGCATTCAGCACTTAAAAAGCTTTTTTTTTTTTTTTTTTTTTTTTTTTTTGCAGCTGTGTGTTTGGAGTTAAGGGAGTACGGGTAGCAGCTCAAAGTTTACACTCTCCCTTGTAAGGAAGAGGGTAAGACAGGTCCTATAGACCTCCTTTCTGCAACCTCGGTTGGACCAAATGAGCTGCAGAACCAAATGGCCCCTTCTATTAACCTCACTATCTCTTTTCAAAATCATCTTTGAAAAATACAAATACAACTACAGAGAAGGCATATCTTGAGCCTTAAATTTAAAAAATTTTCCCCTCAACTATAGTTGACATACATTTCAAGTCTTATTTTAATTAACTATGAATGGCTCAGTAAGGACTAGTTGACAGTCAACTTCGAGTAGGGAAGGAGGAGATAAAGGGGAAGCGTGGAGGAAAAAGCACACTGGCAAGGAAATGGGAACACGGTGAAATCCCCTCACCTCACAGTGCTGCTTCCCCCTGGTTCCCACACTCACAAAACCCTAGACCCCTCAGGGCTAGCACTTTTACATCTCTGGAGCGGCAGACTACATTCTATCAGGATTTTACCGATGAAGATGACACTGGGTTTAGTTCATTCTGGTGATTAGAAATTAAGATTCAGGTGTAAGTTGCACAGCAATGTAAAACTGTACACGTAAAATATGATAAAAATGTTGAATTTTTTGTTATGCATATTTTACCACAATTTAAAAACATATTCCAGTTTATTTTTTCCAGTTCTGGATAGTTTCTAAAACTTGCTTGGTTCAACTCTCATTCAAGCTGGTACATGTTTACTATTATTTTCAACACCCTTTGGGTTGGCTCAGAGTTTGCTGAAATACAGAGCGTGGCAAAAGTAGGTTTTGTATGGAAAATAATATAATAATTAATAATAATAAAAGAGCCCTAGCTGGTTTGGCTCAGTGGATAGAGCATTGGCCTGTGGACTGAAGGGTCCCAGGTTCGAATCAGGTTAAGGTCACATGTCTGGGTTGCGGGCTTGATCCCCAGTGTGGGGTATGCAAAAGGCAGCCAATTAATGATTCTCTCTCATCACTGATGTTTCTATCTCTCTCCTTTTTCCTTCATCTCTGAAATCAATAAAAATATATTTAAAAAGTAATAATATAAGAATGAAGTCTGTGGCCCTGGCCAGTGTGGCTCAGTTTGTTGAGTGTCATCCCATACATGGAGAGATTGCTGGTTCAATTACAGTCAGGGCACACGCCTGGCGTTTCAGCCTGGATTCCCAGTATGGGGATACAGGAGGCAGCTGTTTGATGTTTCTCATTCTCTCTCCCTTCCTCTCTCTTTAAAATCAATAAAAACATCTATTTTTTAAAAAGAATAAACTCTGTGCTTTGTGTACTCACAATTACTTTGCCACATCCTGTATTACTATTTTGGTTAGGAATTCAGCAAATTTGTGTGGTTTGCTATGGATTTTAGTAAACAAATCAGTTCAAATATTTATATCTTTGATCCAAAGAGAGTAACCAAAATTTTTTTGGTAGCTGATTTCACAATATCAGAATGTAAAATACTACCTGACCCAACAATCCCACATTTAGGAAGGAACATTTACCATAGATTTACACACACAAGTACATCAAAAGCTTTGCACAACAGTCTTTCTGGAGTACTGTATATAAACATCTGGAAGTGACTATACACATATATCAAGAGGGGAAAGCTGAAAAACTTACAGTACATCTGTACAAAATAATACTATGTGTACTTCAAAAGAATGAGTCCAAATATGCTGACAGTGAAAGAAATCTATGATATGATAACTAACAAAAGAGCAAAGTCAAGTGTATATAGTATGATCCCAACTATGTTAAGATAACAATAAAGGAAATGAACATCCATTTACCTACACACCTATACTCACAGATAATGAGTATTACTGTGATAAGGGACTGGGAGCCTAATGGGACAATTATTACTTTTATTTTATTTTAAATATATATATTTTTATTGATTTCAGAGAGAGGGAGAGAGGGAGAGAGAGATAGAAACATCAATGATGAGAGAGAATCATTGATTGGCTGCCTCCAGCAGGCCACCTATTGGGGACCGAGCCCGCAACCCAGGCATGTGCCCTTGATTGGAATTGAATCGGGGACCCTTCAGTGCGCAGGCTGGCGTTCTGTCCACTGAGCCAAACCAGCTAGGGCAAGAATTACTTTTATTTAAAAATAAAATAAGATAAACAAAATAACAACCCCCAAACATTTAAATGAACAAAGAAGTACTACCACCTACACCCACTCTCAGGTGAAGCAACCAGCTAATGACCTGGAAACCCCCAATTATCCATTATCTCCACTTCAAAACCAGGCCATCGTTAGGCTCTGGGCACAACCACATACCTCTGTAAGTGGTAGATCTTGTGTGTGAACTGGCCCTTCTCACCGTCCTTCTCATAGGGTTCATTCACCAGGACCTCCACGCCTTCTCCACCGCCTGTTTCATTTTTGCTAGCTTCAGCCACAGAATACAGCTGTCCTACTTGGTACTAAAGGAACAGAGAGACGGGAGTTGTCAATGCAGAATCTTCTAAACAGTTACAATAGTCCAGTCGCCAGTAACTGTCCAATTATTTCATGTTGGGATTCCCCTAATTTAAGAACTCATTCTGAAGTTTCACACAGGGTCTTGCCCAAATTCACCCAAAACAAGTGACAACCCTGCTCCATGGCCTCTCTTTAGCCATCAGATGTGTTTAATTTTATCCTTCCTATTTTCTTACCACCATCCAGAAAGCAGAAGGTAGAATGCAAGGTAGCTTTTGTCTTGCTATTAAGCCCTTAAAACAAGATCTGGGGTAGTTGCTAGAAGTCTATTTGTTCCATTCATTTAAACAGATCCTAAGACATGACTTCTTTCTCCAATGGTTCCCCCCCACCCCCCGCCCCCCACCAAGAAGCTCGGAAAACAGCCTTACAGGCAACCAGACCTCCAGACACACTCCAGATTCCTGATGGGGCTGAAGCAAAGTGCTTCCCATATTAGACAGCACAGATTCCTACCCCACGGTCTGTGCTGGCTGGGTACACCCTCTGTGTTGGCACTTATTAGATGGCAAAAGCCTAGTTTTCCTTTATTTGGGTCACATGCCACCCTATCAAGTCACCAGTCAAGATCACTGGCCTCCTCTGACCCTCTCAGGGACATTCAGTGTTAGGGCCATTGACCTGAAGGAAGCTGTCCAGGTGAAAAAATAAGGTGAGAAGAGAATGAACAGGAGTATTTAATGACGGAAGTTACATCTATACCACAGGTGCTTCTTACCTGTCATTGCCAGTGCCAACCAGGCACAAATATGAGAAAAGAGCATCTGATTCCCCAACATGTTGTGGAGGTAGATAAAGGTTTCCCCACCCAGCAGCAGGCCCCTTTCCCATACTACCGGTACTCCCAGGAGTGAAAGCTGAGAGCATTTTTCTCCCTTTGAGATTAAAACAGAGAGGCTGTGTCTCTGGGCAGCTGTCATTTAAACCACTGCCTGCCAGAGCGAGGAGCAGAGGCAGCATCCAGGTCTGTTTCACCCCAAACTTGGATGCTGACTTGACCAGGGAAATTTTGGGGCGAAGTCCGGAAGGTGAAGCAGCAGACCAGGACAATTTACTGTTCATCACAAAGCTGAAAGAGCCCTAACTTCCAAAGCAAAACCCAGCACAAAATGCCAAGGAAAAGCCCAGGCAAGCAACCAAGACTCAGCTAATCCCATAAAGAGGAGCGCTGGGGTGACAGCCAGGTATCTGACCTTGCTAATCCAGAGCAACATCACTGTTGCTTCACTGTCCCCACGGAACCCCACACTGTCCCTGTGCGTTTCCAAGGCCACCCCCCAGCTGAGGCACACACGAAAACCTCTATCAAGTGGGTCAGGGTTTGGCTGAGCCAGGGGTTCCTGAGAAGGAACCGCGATTCTGCTTCAGAGAAGAGTCATAAGAACATCTAAGCACTGACTCAGCAATCCTAAAGGGCAGGCTGGGGAGAAGGCCTGGTGGCGGGGACGGCGCTGCTGGCTGGTGCCACTGCTCGGAGGGGGCTCCAGGCAGAGACTAATCCGTTTCACTGGTTCCTCCTCGGAGGCAGGAATCAGAGGGCTGGCTCTAAGAGGATCAGTCTGTTGGACCGGCACCTTCCCCCTTTAATCGCCCTTGATATTCTGATCCTTTAATCTCAGTCAGACAAGTGAAGGCAGTTTTGCTAATCCAAAGGGGTGGGTTAAACTGGCCTCCACAAGCCACAATTGAGGGATACCTTCTCTGTCCAAGGGTTCCCTCTGGCATAGGGGCTCCACACCCTGGGAAGGCAGAAAGCAGCCAGACTCCAGTGGGGTGAAGGTGGGAGCAGGGGTGAGGCCATTCCATCAGACAAGGAGCTGAGGAGACTGGGATTCCAGCTGCCTCGGGCCTAGGATACTGCTCTCTGCCCTTGATAGTTGTTCCCTTGTCCCAAAGAACTAAGATACTCTGCTAAGAAAAACAAGAGACTCCACCGCTTTGGCCACCTGGGAGTAGAAACCCAGAAAGAAGCTGTGGGTGGGCCTAAGACACTGACATTAAACAAACCAACCCAGCTGTCGGTCCCACCCACACGGCCCTGTCAGGACAGTGACCGTAGGGGAATGATGTCCTGCATCTCTGGAAACAAGAGAAAACAGCCCTGCCCACAGCAGAGGGTGGGCAGCCTGAGTCAGGAGCCACTGGTGGACACACCCATATCGAACGGCCAAAGGTTTCTTGCTTTGCTGCCGAATGCCCAGAAACCCTGGGCAGTGTTAGGCCAAAGTGTCTGGCCAGCCAGAAGCTAATTCCATCCCAAAATATTGATTTGTACAATCAGAATGGTTATAAAGACATGGCCTTCTCTTCTCTTTCTTCTCTTTTCCCCCAAGTCAGAAAGCTCTGAGGACCTAAAATCATGGTCTCCAATAGGGAAGTGAATCTATCAGTCACACAAGACTGGGCTGCTCCCATGGGAACCATAAGTCAGGATGGAGTTATTAATAAAGGCGCTGAGAAGGTTGATCATTACTTGTATCCTGTATGGCCTTGCATTCAAGATTTTCTGTCTTCTGGAACTAAGGTTCAAGCCATCAAGAAAGCAGCTCCTGCCGAAACCGGTTTGGCTCAGTGGTAGAGTGTCGGTCTGCGGACTGAAAGGTCCCAGGTTCGATTCCGGTCAAGGGCATGTACCTTGGTTGCGGGCACATCCCCAGTGGGGGGGGGGTGTGTGTGTGCAAGAGGCAGCTGGTCGATGTTTCTCTCTCATCTACGTTTCTAGCTCTCTATCTCTCTCCCTTCCTCTCTGTAAAAAATCAATAAAATATATTAAAGAAAGCAGCTCCTGCTTCAAGTCCAGGCCAAGCACTGCTTTCTCAGTAGCAGTTTCTAGCTGAGAACAGGCTGGCCATCATCAGGCAAACAGATGAATCCTAACAGTGCTTACTGCCCCAGCTGCTGCTTAGATTTTCAGCTCTGTTCACTTGCCCCTTTGCTTCCTCAACGTTTCAAAAAAGCCACAAGCTAAAACCTCTAATCCCAGACACTCTTGGAGTTCCCCTTTCCCTCCTTGGCCTGCTATGAGCAATCAGTGTTCTGGTCCCTCCAACCTTCCTACAAGAGCAGCCAGGAAGTGCCACAGACAGGTGCTGGCCCTCCTGGTCTGCCACACTCTCAGAGACATTCCCACCCTTCGTTCCATCAATAAACTCTCTGCGAAAAGATTCATTTCACCCCTAAATGCCACACTGAGGTACTCCCAGATTCCTGGGACATCTTCTCCACTGGCTGTATAGAAGAAAGGAAATCATCGAACCCTCAAGAGCTGAGTTTTAGGGCAAGAGACGTGGTAGGCCTTCCTGCTTGGCTTCCTGGTTGGGAAAACTTCAAAGCAGCACAGCCCCCAAAGGAAGTGGATGAACAAGGTCCTCCATGCCAATGCCTGTCACACCAAGCATGTGGTTCCCAGGCCTTAGGTACATCTCAGGCGCCTCCAGCATCTATCCAGCCATCCCCTCTCCCCGGCTTCCTTAGTCATGTTTCTCTTCTCCTTTCAGAGAACTCCCAGCTCATGTTGGAGGCCACCTCTGGCTCCCCTCCTGGGTCTCTATAACCTGTTCCACTGGAGACAATCCTGTAAGAGGCTAATGTCTGCCCACCACTTTTGGAGGGTCAAAAAGCTTGGTTATTTGTCTCATCTAATGTGTGCTGATTTGATTTTTCAAAGGTCCGTTTCATATCTGGAGTAGACCGGAAGTTATCACAGGAGTTTCATGCTGACTCTGCAGGAAAGAGACTGATTGAGGGGCATTATGTTGGCTGACAGATTTCCCCCAAACTTAAGCTTAACTAGAAGTGGGGTGGATAGAGGGCTATGGATTCAGAAGGAAGCAAAAAAGAAGGCCATGCCAGGAGAGGGAAGTGGAGGAAGGGTGGGACAAGGGAGGCTCTGTGACAGTTCTCTGCTGTCCAGGAGACTAACTCTGAGTCAGCATGGCCTATAAACTTTCTTGTGGCAAATCCTGCCAGATCCCCATACACAGACGACAGGCCCAAGAACCATAAAAGGATAAAGAGCAAGCCCAGCCCACTTGCTACTCCCTGCCCTCCGTAAAAGGAGGGTTCTGGGCTCTGGTCTTTCCAGCAGTCACCTACAGTGTAGCCAGGGAGGGCCACAAAGACTTCTTGCCCTGCTGGTTTGTTGCACAATCGGAGAGAGCTACGCACACTTCCCAGTCAAGTCACGGAGGTCCCAGAAAGGCGCACACTCAATCCCCTCAATAACATGTCCCTAAACAGGCACAGTCCCATCAGGTAAAGGAGGATGACTGAATCTCTATTCGGTTAACTAGAATGCCAATAACTTAGGCAAGTTGTACACAGTTGCCCAGGTATACAAAGCAAAGTGCCTTCTCTGTCAGCAGGACTGCAGATTGGAGCACAACTATGAAAAACAGCATGGAGGGCCCTCAAAAAATTACAAATGGAACTGCCTTATGACCCAGAGAATCCACTTGTGGATATATACCTGAAGAAACCCAAAATACTAAATTGACAGAATATATGCATCCTTATGTTCACTGCAGTGTTATTTATTTTTAAAAATATATTTTATTGATTTTTTTTACAGAGAGGAAGGTAGAGGGATAGAAAGCTGGAAACATCAATGAGAGAGAAGCATCGACCAGTTGCCTCCTGCACACCCCCCACCGGGGATGTGCCCACAACCAATGTACATGCCCTTGACTGGAATTGAATCCGGGACCCTTCAGTCTGCAGACCAACGCTCTATCCACTAAGCCAAACCGGTTTCAGCTGCAGTGATATTTATAATAACCAAGATCTAAAAGCAACCCATCAATAGAAGAGTGGATAAAAAAGTTGTAGTACATATATACATACAATGGAAATATTACTTAGCCATAAAAAAGAATGAAATCTTACCATTTGCAACAACATGGATTGACCTAGAGAATATTATGCTAAGTGAAATAAATCAGTCAGAGAAAGATAAATACCATATGATGTCACTTACACATTGACTCTAAAGAACAAGATAAATGAACAGAATTGAAACAGACTCTTAGGCACAGAGAAGAGAATGATGATTGCCAGAGGGGAGGGTTGGGGGACTGGGTGAAAAGGTGAAGGGATTAAGAAGTACAAATTGGTAGTTGCAGAATAGTCGCAGGCATATGAGGAGAACATAGGGAATAGAGTCACAATTGTACTATTTATGGTACCAGGTGGGTACTGAAGTACTGGAGGGAACATTTTTATTTATTTTGTTTTTAATTTTTGTTAATCCTCACCCAAGGATATTTTTCCCATTAAGAGATAGTGGAAGGGCCGGGACCAGTTTGGCTCCGTGGATAGAGCGTTGGTCTGCGGACTGAAGGGTCCCAGGTTCGATTCCGGTCAAGGGCATGTACCTTGGTTGCGGGCACATCCCCAGTAGGGGTGTGCAAGAGGCAGCTGATCGATGATTCTCTCTCATCGATGTTTCTAACTCTCTATCCCTCTCTCTTCCTCTCTGTGAAAAATCAATAAAAAATATATTTAAAAAAAAGAAAAGAAATAGTGTAAGGGAGTAAGGGAAGGGGGAGAGAGGGAAAAACAGAAGGAAGAAGAGAAAGGGAGAGGGAGACGGAGATGGAGAGGAGGATGAGATGGAAACTCATTTGTTGGTTGCCTTTCGAATGTACCCCAACCAGGGCTGGGAATTGAACCTGCAACCCTTTGATGGGCAGGCCGACGCTCTAACCATTGAGCAACCAGCCAAGACAAAGGGGACACTTTTAAAGTACATGACTGTATAACCATTATGTAAAGTAATAATGAATGTAAACTGTATTGGGAAAAACCCAACAACTTCCTTTCCTATCCTCAAAAAAAAAAAAAAAAAAAAAAAGTTAAGTTAAATTAAGAATAACAATAAGTGCTTTCCTTCAATTGAAAGTAGCACCAGGAACCGAAACCTGTTTGGCTCAGTGTAGAGCATCGGTCTGCGGACTGAAAGGTCCCAGGTTTAATTCCGGTCAAGGGTATGTACGTTGGTTGCGGGCTCATCCCCAGTAGGGGGTGTGCAAGAGGCAGCTGGTCGATGTTTCTCTCTCATCGACGTTTCTAGCTCTCTATTTCTCTCCCTTTCTCTCTGTAAAAAATCAAAAGTATATTAAAAAAAAAAAAAAAAAAGTAGCACCAGGAAAATTCACAGCAACTATTGGTTATCTATCTCTGTTAGAACAAACATGAAAAACACACACAGAGCTTGGCCACGTGGAGCCACTATGTGCAGTTAGGGATGAAATGAAGGACTTACCTCCTCTACAGACACAGGCAGGACGACTCGGCTGTAAGAGAGGGAAAACAAGTTCAGGCTGACACCTGCCCAAGGCTCGGGAAGCAGCATTTTAGAAGAGTATTAAACATTTTGTGGCACATGACATTACACTCGCTGTCAAAAACCCAGCCGAGAACGGCCCCAAGTGCTTCGAGGCTAGGACGCTCTGTGCCCTTCTGGAATCCCATTTAGGGCCCTGTGAGTCAGTGTAAACCTGTCCCCCATCAGCTACCTCCCAGGAAGCCTTCTGATTCACACTCACAAATGTCTTCTCCTTCTCCTCCACTCATCTCCCTGACAAAACCTGCCTGTGAGAGAGGCAAACATAGGAGGACCCATACCTGCAAACTCTGAAGCCAAGATGAGGATTCAGACCCAAAAAATCAGGCCCTGGGCATTTACACATCTGTGGACCCAGCCCTCAAGGTGAAAGGCTAGGAAGGGGGCAAGCTTCCTGGAGGCTCAATCCCTCTAAGAGCATGCTCCAACCATCTCTGCTCTGGGATGGGGTATTACAATACAAGCTACTACCGCAAAGAGAGGACACCCAGCTTGTGTTCTGGCTTCCAGAAGCTACCCCAACTGATCACTGTCTTTTCCTCCCCCATTTCAATGACCACCAATCATTGGAGGTACCACCAAAAATCTGACAGAGCAGCCATGACCAGCAAAGTCCCCACACTGGTCAGAACTCCACATTGGTATGACGCTTAGCAACACTCCTCTGGAGCAACAGCCAACACTTAGTTCAAAGCTGTGAGGTCAGAGGGCTGACACAAAAATGCTTAGTTGTTTTCATATAAAACCAGCCAGCTTCGAAGCTGAGATGTCAGTTCCCAGACCCTAGCTGGAAGCCCCTGGAGCCTCTTGTATCTTGGGTGCTTGCTGAAGCATGAGCTGCTATGCCCTCTGTCCTATGCAGTGGTTTCACCAATTAGGATTCTTGCTCCAGGCTGGTAAATAGTCTGCTTACTATATTTTATTGATTTTTTACAGAGAGGAAGAGAGAGGGATAGAGAGTTAGAAACATTGATGAGAGAGAATCATCGATCAGCTGCCTCTTGCACACCCCCTACTGGGGACGTGCCAGCAACCAAAGTACATGCCCTTGACCGGATTCGAACCTGGGACCCTTCAGTCCGCAGGCCGACGCTCTATCCACTGAGCCAAACTGGTTTAGGCTGCTTACTAGTTTTTATTTCCACAAAGATCTGCCAGGTAGCAAGAAGCACACAAAGGGGTCTGAGAACAACATCACACGAAGGGCAAAACACGAGGCAGAAAAGTAGCAAGAAAAACAAAATGAGCTAAAACAAAACAAAACCAACCAACAAAAAAACCCAAAATGAGCTCCAAGTCTTTACTGCCTGCTAACTCCTCTCCTCCAGAATGACTCAATGTAAATCCTGCAGGTTATTGGATGCTGCTACTGATGTGCTCCTCCCATTAGAAAAAGCTGACGATGCAGAAAAATATTTCCAACTTGGAAGCCACAATTTCAGCACCCTCGGTAGAAACTTCCTAGAAAACAATCAGCCTTTTATCTTTAAGAACAGCATTAAACATCACATCCAAGAATCTGTAGAAATCAAATCAAGAAAAATCTTGTTAGAGGAAGTATCAGAAAAATCAGCAGGGACAACCTTCAGACTCTGGATGGGCACCACGTCTTCCCCTCCCCCCCTAAAAGAGAAGGGCATCTGCCAGCTCCTGACAGGATGCTCTGAGGCTGCTGACATCACAGCTGCACACCCAGACCTTTCTCCTGGCTCCCTGGGAGCAAAACCGCCCGGCAGCGATGGGGTGCAGTTCCCAATGTCAGGGCCACAGGGGCAGCGCTGGGCTGAGGCGAGCTGTGCTCACTTCAGTGTGACCTTCACTCACACCCTTCCCAGAGCTGCAGTGCTGCAGCCACAGCCAAGTGTCTGGATGCCCATCTCCGTGTCCCCTGCCCAGGGCTGTCATACATGCCTGAGCACATACTGGGCACAAGCCGGAGAGGAAGGAGACGCGCATGCCAGGGAGGCGCTGCATCCCAGCACCTGGGACCTTTCCCTGACAGGCTTCGAGGGGAGGAGAACAAAGAATGGGAAGAGAGGACCTCTCTCTGAAACTCACTCAGATCTCTTTTGAAGATCCCTTTCCCTCCCTGACCTTCTTCACAAAACTACAGGTTTCTAGACTCTCAGATTCATCTGGGAATTGAAAAAAGCATCAGGAAAATGGGGAAAGCCTGTTTTCTGGACAGTCAACATTAGAATCCGAAGAGCACCATGCTCCCTTCCTGTTGACATCCCAAGGTTCTTCCTCCTCACCCCATAAAGCTCTGAGTCAACATCAGCCTGGATATCAAGATGTAAGTAAGGTAGAGGGCTTCAGAATAACGTTCTTTAGCTGGGGTGACCCGAGTTTCTGCTCCCTTGGTTATCCAAAGCTCTCTACGGTGCCCTCAACACTTCCAAAGAGCAGTCAGATGGAACCAAGCGCCTCCGACACCACGGAGACAGCCCTTCGCACACCTGCCTGGCTACCCAGTGAGTTCCACCAGTTGCTCTCTCCTTGGACACCTCTCACTTCCAAAATCCCTGGGCTTCTGGCCCAGTGCTGTCCACTGGCCCTCCCCTCGAGGGAAGCACAGTTTTACTGTAAATGCCACACACACACATTCAACCTCTCCTCTTTTTTGGGGGGGGCGGGGGTGGTGGAGGGCGAGTCCTGAGATGTTTCCTTGGAACCATGAGCTTCAGGGATGGGTCCTGTCACATTTGAAAAACTTAGCAATGCAAACATCCCCACCTGTCATCCAATCGCCTGGACTTGAGGAGCAAGCCCAACAACACCCTGCAACTCCTCCCACAAGTCACTAGCTCCCGCCCCCCAGTCACCTCTCAAGAACTCCCTCACCCTGCACCGGCTCCCCCTAATGAATGGCTTTATTGGCAACCTCTTCGATTCCTCAAAGCCATTTCCCCATCTCCCTGCTCCGAGGCTGAAAATTCCGTAGCCATAGACCGCCCGTTTCCCACCCACACTCCAATGGCTCTTATGTTTCGGTACAGAGGCTCTTTCCTAACTGTTCCCTATCCTGGCAGCATCCTAGCCCTCTCCGTCACGCCCTTCGGATCACGCCAGCCCCTGCCCAATATTTTCTGGACTCCTTACCCGAGTGCCCCTGAGTCCCAAGTTTCCCCCTCCACCCCCCAACACCTCCCTTTCTGTACCTGCCAGGTGGGCACCATGTCACATACCCACCTTAGGGGTAGGTCCTCAGATCTGTCCTGTCACCCACGCGGGGCCCTGACTCCCTGGTCCCTTGACTTTATCCACTTACTACAATCTTTCCCCTGATACCTAAAGGCAGACACTCCTACTCCGGGTCCCCCTCAGCACTCCTCCCCACCCTCTCAACTCCATCCCTGGCCTGTCTTGTCTGATCTTCCGAGCCCCCCAGAACTGAGCATCCCCCCACCCCACCCCACCACCGGCTGGCCAGCTCACCGCCTCTGCCTGCCCTTGTCTAACTGTTCCTCCCTCTCCCGCAGGTCCCCTCGGCCACTCCTGCAGATGTGGCCGGGCCCTGGTCCCTCAGCCCCCTCCGTGCAACCACCCCACCGAGCATCCATCCAGGGCTCTCCATCCGCTCAGCCCCTCGTGTCCTGCCCGGCTCCCACCGTCCCCTTGACCCCTTCCCAGGCCCGGCCAGGTCCTCATTGTCCCCCGGCCTCTCCTCAGGCCTATCAGCCATCCCTGCCCCTGGGGCCCCCTCTCAGGTGCTGTCCGTCTCTCCCGATTCCCACCGCCCCCCCCCCCCCTCAGGCCCTGCCCGGCCCACCCGGTCCCCTCAGCCCCACGCCGGGCCGCCCAACAGCCCCTTCAGCGCTCGCCATCCCCGGGCCCAGGCCGGCCTCTGCATCCCCCCCGCCGGCCGCCACCCTCCGCGGCCGCCAGCCCGCCGCTGCCTCCCTCCGGCTTCCGCACGACCGCGGACACTCACTACTCCTTGATCAGCACCATGTCGCTCCGCGGCTCGGCGGCGGCTGCCTGCTGCCCGCTGCCCGCCCGGCTCCCCGCCCGCTTCCCGGCGGCCGCTCTCCCCGCGGCCCTGCCCGGCGCGGCTGCCTGTGCGTCTTCGTCTTGGGCTGTTCCGTCCCCGCCGCTCTCGCCGCGGACGCTGCGCCGGCTCCCGCGCCCCGGCCTCTCCGCCTCCCGCGCCGCCGCCGCCGCCCGGAGATCTGGTTCCGCAGCGCCGCGCGGGGGCGGGGCGTCTCTGCGGCAACCAGCGCGTCACACGCAGCGTGCGCGCTGACCTCACGCGGGGGCGGGGCCTCCTCCGGGCCGCCTCCCGGCCTTAAAAGGGCCGCAGTGTCGGCGACCGCCCTGAGCTCCGGGTGCGCCCCGGACCCCGCCGGTCGGTAGGCGGGGCCGGCGTCCGTGTGCAGGGCAGGGTCTTACGTGTGACAGCTGTGCAGCCGGAGCAGAGGCACCTGTATGCTCGGGTCTCCCCAGTGGATGGGCTGAAATCTAGGAAAGGGTTGTGTAAAAAAAAAAAAAAAAAAAATTAAAAATTAAAGATAGCCAGTACGTGCAAGTGCTCTCCTAAGTGCTTGACCCCTCAGGACAACACCACCAAAATGGTGCTATGCCGAAACCGGTTTGGTAGAGCGTCGATCTGCGGACTGAAAGGTTCCAGGTTCGATTCCGGTCAAGGGCATGTACATTGGTTGCGGGCACATCCCCGGTAGCGTGTGTGCAAAAGGCAGCTGGTCGATGTTTCTCTCTCATCAATATTTCTAGCTTTCTATCTCTCTCTCTCTTCCTCTCTGTAAAAAATTAATAAAATCCATATATTTTAAAAATGGTGCTATGATTGCCCCAGTTTGCAGATGGGTAAGGAGGCAGAGGTTAAGAGACTTGTTCAAGTCCAAAGCTAGCATGTGATGGGGCCGAGATTTTCACCCAGAAGGTTTAGTGAGGCCCTAGGTGATTTTGCTCAGAGGACAGAGCGTCGGCCTGCGGACTGGAGGGTCCCAGGTTCGATTCCAGTCAAGGGCACATGCCTAGGTTGTGGGCTCGATCCCCAGTGTGGGATGTGCAGGAGGCAGCCAATCAATGATTCTCTCTCATCATTAATGTGTCTATCTCTCTCTTTCCCTTCCTCTCTGAAATCAATTAAAAAGAAGTTTTAGCCAGAACCGGTTTGGCTCAGTGGATAGAGCACTGGCCTGCGGACTGGAAAGTCCCAGGTTCGATTCCGGTCAAGGGCATGTACCTTGGTTGCGGGCACATCCCCGGTGGGGGCTGTGCAGGAGGCAGCTGGTCGATGTTTCTCTCATCGATGTTTCTAGCTCTCTATTCCTCTCCCTTCCTCTCTGTAAAAAATCAATAAAATATATATATTTTAAAAATAATAAAAGACTTCCTTCTTTAAAAAATTTAAATAAATAAATAAATAAATAAAAAGAAGTTTTAGTGTAATGTCATTCACCCAGTTAGTATTTGCTAGGTGCCTGCTGTGCACCAAAACTTGTGCTTTTGTTGAGAAAATGAACAAGGTAAAGTTCACATAGCCCTTAGGAACATTCTGTGTGGGGTGGGACGGGGGTAGGTTGATGGGTAGAGGAGAAGGAGCCAGGCAGTTAGAATGAAAAAGGGCTGTGAGAAGTGAAACATGGGTTTGTTGGGATTACACCAGGAGATGTAGTCAACAAGGCATCCTGGAAGAAGAGCTTCTAAGCTGAAATCTGTAGAGGGCTGGAAGGGGGTGTGTTTACAGAGTGAATAAAAGGTCCATTTGGGGGACTGAAAGAAGTGACTGGGGTGTGAAGTTGGGGGCTGAGGAGCTGTGGCAGGGGTGGGTTGGGGCCAGATGATGTAATTCCTGGTAGGCGATGATAAGGTGTTTGGAGTCTATCCAAAGGGCACAGGTGGGCACATAAGGTTTTAAGCAGGATTGGTGTCCAAAGGCTCTCTCTGACGGCTGGGTGGAGAGGGGATGGAGGGAGCCGGAGCAGAGGCAGGGCGGCCAGTTAGGAGGCCTCTTCAGAAACCCAGGCAAAGATGGGCTAAGAAAGACAGTGGTGGGAAGGAGGGGGGAAAGGGGATACGGATACAGCAGTAAAATTAGCAAGATTTTTAAAAAATATATTTTATTGATTTTTTACAGAGAGGAAGGGAGAGAGATAGAGAGCTAGAAACGTTGATGAGAGAGAAATCTCCACCAGCTGCCTCTTGCATACCTCCTACTGGGGATGTGCCAGCAACCAACATACATGCCCCTGACCGGAATCGAACCTGGGACCTTTCAGTCCGCAGACCGACACTCTACCACTGAGCCAAACCAGTTTCGGCAAATTAGCAAGATTTTTGACTCATCGGCTGAGAGGGTAAAAGGAAGGAGGTATCTGGTCTGGAAGCGTACGTGGATGGCCTTAGGAGCACAGAGGAAGGCAGATTTGCATGGGAGAAAACAATGACTCCATGTTGAATTTAAGGAGCACCCAGGTGCTGGTTAGGGATTGCCCAAGACATGAACTTGGGAAGGGAGGGTGGAGCAGATGGCTGTATAGCTGCTAACCCGTGACTGGTGCCCAGGGACAGCCCTGAATATTGCACACATTGGCCACTCACTCACTGAGTCCTAGAGAGATCTAAGCCCAGGGCCTGTGAAGAAGGCCAAGGGAGGAGATATTATGACTCAAAGTCCAAGATTACGTGATTGGCCTAGAGCCTGGTCCCCTGATGCTCCCAGTGTAAGTCCTCCCTCCCCCAAGAATATCAATGAATAATAAGAACAATTGCTATGTGCTGGCTCTCTCCAGGAAGTAACTAATCCCCATCATCTGGGACCTTGCAGTCTAGTTGGGAAAACCACAGTTACTCATTCACTCAATAAATATTGACTGAACACCTGGCCTTGCCCTAAGCGGTTTCCTAGGCCCTCAAGATATAGGGGTGACGAGAAAAATGACACCCTTCTCTTGTTCAGTGGGAGAAGCAGAATATGAATAAATACAGAATTAGCGTCAAGTTATACATGTTATAAAGAGGCTGAACAGGTGACCACGGGCCATGGCAGGCAGCACCCGGTGACCAGGGAAGACTCTTAGAGGAAGTGGTGTGTAGATGGAGACCTGGATGGCTACGGGAATTATCTCATTGGGTTCAGATTTCCCTAGTTACCTAAAAAATGTTATTTTGTAGTTTGTTTGTTTTTTAAGATAAGTTTATTGTCTTATTAAGGTCAGTTTTTTCCCCCCACATTTTATTTTTTATTTTTATTTTTTAATTATTATTTTTTAAAAAATATATTTTATTGATTTTTTACAGAGAGGAAGGGAGAGAGATAGAGAGCCAGAAACATCGATGAGAGAGAAACATCGACCAGCTGCCTCTTGCACACCCCCAACTGGGGATGTGCCCGCAACCAATGTACATGCCCTTGACCGGAATCGAACCCGGGACCCTTCAGTCCGCAGGCCGACGCTCCTGAAAGCCAAACCGGTTTCGGCTTTTCCACATTTTAAAAATTCATTCATTCATTCATTCATTCATCATTCATTTATAATCCTCACCTGAGGAGATGTTTATTGATTGGAGAGAGAGAGAGAGGAAGGGAGAGAAAGAAACATCTAAGTGAGAGAAACATTGATCGGTTGCCTCCCGTACCAGTCCAGACTGCGAATTGAACCTGCAATCCAAAACGTAGGTATGTGTCCTGACCAGGAATCAAACCTACAACCTTTTCAGTATATGGGACAATGCTCCAACCAACCCACCCAACCAACCCACCCAGCCGGGGCTCACATTTTATTTCCAGTTGTTCTGTTTCTTACATCTCCTAACTGCAGCAAGCTTTGCTCCAGGTGTACACAGGAGTCAGCCCTTATACACAGGGCCCAGAGCACTCTGCCCCTGTTCCCCACCGAGAGCCAGCCCCCCCTGTGGGAACAGAGCCCCTGGTTCCTGATGGCCCGGAGTCCGCGGCCTACCACTTGCCACCTGTGTGACCTTAGGCAGGTTACTGAACCTCTCTGTGCCTAAGCTTCTTCACGTGTAAAATGCCTGCTTTGAGGCAATGTAGGAAGGTGATCTGGTGCAGTGTACGGCACTTTTCCGTGTTATCATTGTTGGGGGAAGGGGCGTTGTGAAGGAGGAGGGATGGACCTTGCTGCCCTAAACTACTTCGACATGCCACATGCTCCGGCTTAAAAGGAGAGAAAGCAGCTCGTCTCCAGTGTCACAGTGATCTTTTGTCTCTCCTGTCTCCCTTTCATTGTCTCCGCCCCTCTCTCCGTCTGTCTGTACTTCTCTATCTTCTCTCCATCTCTCTACCTCTCCTCACGAGCTCTGTCTTTCTCTCTCCTATCAGTTTATCTTGCCTCTCTGTCTCTCTGTATCTGTCTTTCTGTATCTCTGTCTTTCATCTCTCTTGTTATCTCTCCTCTCTGTCCCTTTGCATTTCTCTGTCTCTAACCCCTTCCTGTCTTTTCCCACCCGTCATCAGTCTTTGTCACTCTACCCTGGGTAATAATGCATCTTCAGCCTGTTTCTATCATCTTCTCTTTGCAGCTGTCTCCTTGCCCCCTATCTGTCTGCTCTCTGCTCTGTGTTAGTGTCTCTCTCTCTCTCTCTCTCTCTTTTTTCTTGCCTTTGTCTTAGTGTCTGTACATCTCCCGGTTCCCGCCCCCGGATGGTTCCTCCTGGCTGTCTGGCCCTCCTTACCGCGTGGTCACAGACACGCCTGTAACCATCTCTGGTATCTCGGGGAGACCGTGTTTCATTGTTTCCATCTTCTGCTCTGTCCCTTCCTGGCTGCGGAGAGCGTTTTCTTCTCCCAGCTTCTGTCTCAGCCTCTCCTCACTTTATTTCTGTCTCTTCTTTTTTTAAATTTCACCCTCCAAATATTTATTGAGCAACTGTTCCATGCCAGGCACCACTGGAGGCTCTGGCAGAGCACATGCCAGCTCTCAGGGAGCGTTTGTCCTAGTGGGACGGACACCACACAAGCAAGCACG